CATTTAAAAAGGCGTTATTCACATCTAATTGTCTCAGCTCCCACTTATTCTGAACAGCTAATGCACTTATGACATTGATGGTGGAGTATTTAACTATTGGACTGAACGTTTCTTGAAAATCATGTCCAGTTATTTGTGTAAACCCCTTGGTCACCAGCCTAGCCTTATACCGTTGCACAGACCCATCCGCATTCCTTTTAATTCGAAAAATCCACTTGCAACCGACTACTGAACGTCCTTTATGTAAGCTGACAAGGGACTAAGTATTATTTCTTTCTAATGCCTCATACTCTTCATTAACTGCTACATTCCACTAAGGTTATTGTAGAGCCTCATATATCGAACATGGCTCCTTTTCCACTTCTGCATGAACTATGGAATAAAGCTTTGGCTTGAATATTCCACACTTGCTCTTGGTCATCATTGGATGACCAGTAATAGGAGCAACCATTGATTGCTCTTCATCACAAACATTTTGCATCACTTCTTGTGACTCACTTTGAGTCAAGCTAGCACCATCAGATTGCTGATTTACAGTATATTCCTCAGCTGCATTTGAGTGCTCCTAAGAGGATTGGAAAAAGAACTGGAACTTGACATTTGTTGTTCCCTATGTTGAGACATAATGGCAGGTTCCACGTGCACATCATCTGATTCTTCTTGATTTTCGTGGGGCATTCCCACTTTTATGCATACTTTCCCTGCACTATCAACCACAGTCAGTTGCATGGATAACTTTGCAGCGTTTCGACCATCATTTTTAATAATAATAGCTTTCTTACCTGCAAAAGGAAAACATCGTTCATAAAAAATAACATGCCTCGATATAAAAATTCTTCCATCAGCTGCCACGCACTTATATCCCTTTTGTTGTGAACTATACCCAAGAAATGTGCATGGTTGTGATCGATATCTGAGTTTATGGTTTTGATATGGGCGAAGATGGGGAAAACACCTACACCTGAATACTTTCAATAACTAATAGTCTGATAACCTATCATACAACATCTAGAAGGGTGACTTTCCTTGCAAAACACGTGTGGGAAGCCGATTGATTAGATGAACTGCAGTGCTTACTGCATATGACCAGAATCTAAAAGGTAAGGAGGCTTGATCCATTAAGACAAACGTTGATTCAATAATATGGCGATGTTTCCTCTCAACTACCCCGTTCTGCTCGGATGTATGCGAGTAAGACAGCTGATGATGCACACCTAGCTTTGTTAACAAGGGAGATATGGAACGATACTCACCCCCAGTCTGTTTGTACTTCCTTAATTACTGCACTAAATTGAGTCTTGACTAGCTCATGAAACGACTGATAAACTTGTAAGGCCTGACTCTTTGTCTTTAATAAGTACACCCAACAATGCCTTGTGTAGGCATCGACAAAGGACACGTAATAATAAAAATTGTTTGAAACAATGTGAGAAGGAACCCATAAGTATGAAAAAATGAGCTGGAAGGGGCTGGTATAAACTGTAGAGGATTAATTGAAACGAATCTTATGGATCTTTCCCATTTTACATGCAACACACATATCACTACTGACTGTATTTTTATTAGTAGGAAAGACAATGCCAATGTTTTTACAAGCCTTTACAAGTGAAGCATGAGTTGGATGCCCAAGCCTCATGTGCCATAGGTTATAAGAATCTGTCATACCAACTGAAGTTTTATTGATTACATTTATTTCTAAACTAGCATCCGCATTATTTTGTTGATCCCCTATTGTAGCATCAAACTGATATAGTCCTCCATTCTCTTGTCCTTGTAGCATAACAACACCAGTCCCTTCATCTTTAACCAAGCATCTCTTCGCGTGAAACTCAAAATAGACATCATTGTCTCTAGCAAACTTTGAGACAAAGAGCAGGTTTTTAGTCACAGATGGAACATGAAGCAAATTATGAATGAACAAAGCTCGATTATTAGTATTGAGTATGCCAGTACCAGTTTTGCAAATATCTAACACTTGACCATTACCGACAACCAGCTTACCTGGGCCAGTATAATCCGAGCCATCTGCCACCTTGGAACCCTCAAGAGTTACATGATGCGTGGCTCCCGAGTCTACAACCCACCTATCTGAAGTTGGTGAGGCCATATGAACTTGCACATAAACATTCTTGTTGTTGCACGATAGACAACTATTAGCCACCTCACATGAATTAATATTCATAGCAGCAGATTCATCTTTGTGAGCCAATACTCCAGGAAAATTTTGGTCAAAGCGATGCCAGCACCTATCTACTGAGTGGCCAGTCTTTCCACATAACTGACATTGGAGCCTAGAGCGTCCATGACCACGGGCTCCTGATCGAGCACTAGACGTGCCACTCGAACTATGAGGTCGATTATACTGACTAGAACAATCGTGATATTATCTGTTGTTTTGCATGTGAACAACGTTTGCACTCATCGAGACTTGATTTTGAAGTTGAAAGCTCTTAAGCTGTGCCTTGGCATCAAATAGCACTGACTTCACTCCATCAAGAGAGAACGTCTCTTTGTTGGTCGTAATAACCGCCATAAACGGTTGATACTCAAACGACAAGCCATTCAATATGGTGGCTATTTGTTCAAGCTCAGAAACAGCACTGCCACACGCAGCTAATGAATCACAAACTTCTTTTATTTGAGTGAAATATGATCACATACTCTCCTCACCTTTATTAATCGACCTTAGCTTGCAATGAAGGCTCATCACAGTCGTTGTAGATCGATTGGCAAAGAACTTGAGCACAGTAGACCACACATCCGCAACTGTTTTTGCACCAACAAACTGAGACAGTATATGATCATTGATTGTAGAGAGCAGCCACGAGACTAAGGCGCTGTCCTGTGCCACAAAGACCTCGTACTCTTCATTGACACCAAGGCTGCCATCTCCAGATTGGATATGTGCTGGTGGAGGTTTAAGTTCCCCAGTGAGCAGTCGTTCCAATCGGTGACTCCTTACTGTTAAAAGAACTTGTTGTTTCCATAACAAAAAATTCATTTCATCGAGCATAATATTGACCTTATTGTTTGTAAACAATCGACTATTTCTCGATGGTTCTCCAAGATCAAAGCTGTGTGCAACATCATCAGCAGCCATGAAGGGTGCAAACTATGAAAGAAGGAAAGAAAAAGATTCTTCAGCAGCTACAAGAGAAGCAACGGAAACATGAAGCCTCCAAGATAAATGGCGAAAGATACCATGTTGTGAAAGTAAAGAAAATAACAAAATTGCTGGAACTTGAATTGTATTTTTCATCTTATATTTACAAAGCATTGTATGTTATTTATACAACAATAGTAACAGAATAACTGAAGCTGTTAAGCCTAACAACCATCTATGCTGAGTTGACACCTAAGATACTTTTAGAATATACTCAACATGATCTAAATAAAAATAATTAAATAATATTTTAAAATGAATATTAGTCAATTAATTTTTACGAGTTTATGAGTCCAGTAATGAGTCATAATATCCCACTTAGCTAATATCTAATAACTTGAATTTTTTATTTCTTTTTACTATTTTTTTAATTCCGAAACTTATTTTATTATAATATTCTAAATCTATGATGTCTCTAATTATTTTAATATAATCTTATAAATTAGTATTTTTTATTTTAATATTATAGATTTAATTGTATTTCTTTAATTCCATTTTTCTTTTTAGTTTTTCAAGTTTTATCTTTGATTATGTAATCTAATTTTCTAAATTTTATCTCGAATTATGTATTATGTATTTTTAAATTTTATGTTTTTATATTTTTATGTGATTATTATAAAAAATTAAATATGCATCGGAACATTGAACCCAAAACTATGAGTATCCAGTTTTTATTAGTACTCGAATAACATATATTTGATACTAACAGGTCGAGACATAATTTACAACTTTTATTACCCGAAAAATCGGATATATAAAATCTTCAGATACCAAAAAAATTGTAAGTATACGCTAATGAATACTACTCTTATCACAAAAAATTTATTTTCTCGTAAATCAATCTCATGGATCCAATCCATTATTTTTATTTTTTGGATTAAATCCTCTTATATGGTAATTCTTTTAGTTTTATATATATTTAGAATCATCGGATAAGTAAAAATATACGGTTAAAATTAACTTAATATTTTTCAGTGAATATTATCTCATTTACTACGGTTAATCTTACATATCTATTTTTACTATTCCAATAATTCTATATGTGTAAAATTAAAAAAGTTTTACAATGTATGATTGAATTTTATCTCAATAATGAGTGAAAATATATTAAACTAATTTATAATATTTTAAGGAAATTTTATAATTTTATTATGAGTTAATTGAATCATATGCCCCCAAATTATAATATTTATTTTAAATTGATCCTTAAACTTTTAAATATTTCAATTTTATTCTCAAACTATAACTCTCATTATAAATTAGCTCTTAATTTTTGAACATTCTAATTTCATCCCAAAACTATGATCATCTTTCTAAATTGGTCCCTAAAGTTTTGAATATTCCAATTTCATCTTCAAATTCACGCAAACGACAAATATATAATTAGTTTCAACCATATTTGACCTAAATTTTGTTTTTTTTTCAAACATATAATAATATAACTTAGTCTAACGATTTTATTAACAAGGAATGTAATGAGTATATATGTATAGTTTGGGATGAAATTTGAATGTTGAAAAAGTTAAGGACTAATTTAGAATGAATGACATGGTTTAGGGATGAAATTATAATATTTTAAAGTTTAGGGGTTAATTTGAAATAAGGTTCATACTTTGAGGATAAATGTTTGCAATTAACTCTTTTATTTATATATATATTTTTAAAAAGCAAATAAGATGATGCTGGGTTCGGATTTCAGACAGAAGAGAAGAGTGATTTGAAGCAAAAACAAAAGCGGTCCCTGTCCCCTTGTCCCCACCACCACACCCCCAAAACACGTCCACCCACACCTTCTCCTCTTATTTGCTTCCCAATCCCATCCCGTTTCCCTCACCAAACGCCAAAAAAAAAACCTGTTCTGAGAAAAGAAGAAGCCAAAATAAACAAAACAAAACCAAAATATAAGAAAGGAAAAAGATGTTCGGGGATGTCTCCAGCTGCAACACCTACAACTACGGCGATGCCTTGTATTGGGACTCCCGTTATATTCAGGAAGCCGGTGGTGCTTTTGACTGGTACCAGCGTTACTCTTCTCTTCGCCCCTTTGTTCGTCACTATGTCCCTACTTCCTCTCGTGTTCTCATGGTCGGCTGTGGAAATGCCCGTAATTTCTCTTCTCTCTTTTTAAATCGTTTCTTTTTAAAGCTTTTACCTTCTTGCTTTGGCGTTTTTGATTCACTTAACTGACTGCTTATCTTATGCTTGCTGAAAAAATTTGGGAAAAAGGGTAAAAAGATTTGAATTTGATGGTTTTGGTTGTTTTAGGGATAAGGGTTTGTAAGTTCAAATCTAGGGTTTTTGTCTCTTCGCATATTTGCTTTCAGACATGGAATGCTTATTGGTAAAGAATGTGTTTTGAGCAAATGGTTTTTTTCTTTTTTCTTTTTTGTAGTTATGTCGGAGGAGATGGTCAAGGATGGATATGAAGACATTATGAACATTGACATTTCCTCGGTGGCTATTGAAATGATGAGAAGGAAATATGAGTTTGTTCCTCAGCTCAAATGTATCCTTTTGGGTGATTCTTGCGTCATCTTCCGTTGGCTATACCTTTTTTTTGTGGTTTTCCTTGATGAACCTAAATAGACATGCAAATGGACGTTAGGGATATGAGTTTTTTCCCGGACGAATCTTTCGACAGTGTTGTCGATAAAGGTACGACACCCTGTTTCCATTACTTTGTCTGTCAAAGGTTGCTGACTTTCTGCTTTGAATGCTAATGAGACTTTCTTGCTGAACCCGTACTGATGAGCTGCCGAATTTTGATTTAGGAACTCTTGATTCTTTGATGGTACGATACATCTTCAAATGCTTTTGTTGTTTGCTCCTTCATTTGTGAAATCTAAAGGTTTGTTCTTTTTTATGAGTTTTAGTGTGGCACGGACGCTCCATTAAGTGCTACGCAGATGTTAGGCGAAGTGATCAGGTTCTGAACTTAATGGTCGTTATTTCATTATCTGGTTACAATCACTAGAGGCATAATCTTTTTGATAGGAGTTGCCTCGATTGTGCATACGCTAAATTTCAAAACTCTAGCTAATTTTTTTGTTTCTTCTTGGTAGACTTCTCAAACCTGGAGGGATCTATATGTTGGTAACCATTTAGCCAAATCAGAAAACTCTATTCTAGCAGTCTTCCGTTTTTCAGTCTTAACTTCAAAACGGATGATGTGTTTGTAAATTTGCCTTTGCCAGATAACTTATGGTGACCCAACAGCGAGGATGCCACATTTGAACCGGCCGGCATACGGTTGGAATATATTATTGTACAACCTACGTAAGTTCTATTTCTTCTTCTTGTCATGTTTAAACGTCTTTCTTTCTATGACATCATTTGATTTCAGATTACTTCTTGTTTTCTTCTGTAAATATTACTCAATTATGCCCATCTTTCAGTTGTGCCGAGTTACAAATGCTAGTTAGGTTAACTCGATGATACTCTCCATCAGGCAGATTCTAGACTTTTTGGTTGGCGACAAAGTAGAAAGGATTGTTGTTAAGAAACATCTGTATTTTCTGATCAAATCCAGTTTTCAGTCTTAACAAGCGAGTAGGACTAGTTAGGGTAGAACAGTTGGCTCATTGCCAAATGTTACTCGTTTATGCCCCAAGAACAGAAATACCTTTTGTCTCATAGTATCATTCTTGACATCCTATGTCGTATATCTTGGAAGAAAACATGTATTGATTATTGAATTCGATGAGCCTTTGCCCATTTTAAAGCAGATGTCCTTGTGAACTTGCACTTTCTGTTTCAAGTCCATTGGTCACACGCAGGACAGAACCTTGGTTTTTATCATGTTTTAAACTGTTTCCTCAACGTATGTCTCATTTTGTTTGCAGCCAGACCGGATTTTAAGAGGCCTGGAGGTGCTTCATTGACAAAGTCATACTTGGAGCCAATTCCCATCACTGAGAAGGGCACACTTCCTGCGGACTTTGTTTTGGAAGACCCGGATTCTCACTTCATATATGTATGCAAAAAGATGGATGACACAGGGCTAAGTAACATACCCACCTATCCATTAACATCCGAGATTTTATAGCGAATCGAGTAAAAATTGAAGTGCTAAGGCAGCATCTATACTGTTTTACAAGCTTCAAAAGTCACATTTCAATTTCAAAGTATTTGTATGATTATCATCCACCAATTAGGACATTTTACTAGGAAAATTATTGTTTGTAAACCTCCAGAAAGGAATTCTGTTTGTGTTTTACATATTATAAGTCCGCTGTTGAACAGAAACAAAAGACCTTGAATAATATCGTACAACTTACTTATAATTATGCTCAAGGTTCTTTAATCTCTCTCTTTTCTTAAATAGTCTAAGGATCCAAATGAATGGTCAGAGCAATTTGATTTCAATAAACTTGTGCAAGATGATAACTGAAATTTTTTATCGATTAGATTTGTCACAGGAACAATTCTTAGAAATTAGTATCTTTCTTCTAGACTGTGATAAATCTGATCTGTAAATTTTTATAGGTACCATCTTGCACAACTTTCAATGGGACCATTTATGTATTTTACCCTAAAAAATACAAATATAAAAATTTGATAATTTTACTCCTAAGTGGGGACCACAGAAAAAGAAGGTGGGGTCCAACACCAGAGCCTAAAACCTAAAAATGTAAAATCTCTCCAAATGTGGCAAAGGAGTGTATCATGCAAGCACACTCTAAATAGAATTGCAGAGAGCCATGCAAGAAACTTGTCGTTTCCAGTTTCAAAACGCTTTGCCTTTTTGATTTTGCTATCTTCTCCCTTCTCTAAATTTAACAATCCTTTCTTTTATTTTACTCCTTTCCCCCAAAATTAAGCTTCTCCTTCTCTAAGAGTTCGAGAAGTGGCTGGTCATTTCTAACTTATTCTAATAAAGATTCTCCTTCTCATTTTTCCCTGTTGTTTTTCTTTTTGAGAAGAAGCAGAAACAGAGCAGAGAGAGAGAGAAAATGGGTAGGGGGAAAATAGAGATAAAGAGAATAGAGAATGCTAATAGCAGGCAAGTCACATTCTCCAAGCGGCGTGCGGGTTTGCTTAAAAAGGCCAAGGAACTCGCCATTCTTTGTGATGCCGAGGTTGCTGTCATCATTTTCTCAAATACTGGCAAACTATTTGAGTATTCCAGCTCTGGGTATGCGTTGTACATGAAAAAGGAAAAAATTGTTCTTTTTAATGCTTTTTTTATCACTGCATGAGTTTTTTTTTTGGATTTTATTTACTTTTGATTATCAATTTATCAGAATGGTGTTTACCAGGGGTCGCCGATTAAGAAATTTGGAGGGTTTTGGGAACTTTAATTTGTTTAAATTCTTGCATGTTGTCTGGATTTGTTCCTTCTGATAGTTCTGACTCTCATCGTCTTCTGTCAATTTTGTTATGAACTTCAGTTCTCCTGCCATTTCTTCACCGTTTTCAGAATTTTTACATTTTATGATCGACAGTACGTTTATTATCATCTTAAGAAAAAAGGGTTAAACTCAGTCCACTAAGCTTGTTAGCTGGGAAAAACTGTTTTTTGAGGAAGAAATATATTTTTGTGAAATTGTGTGTTGCCTTTTTGTTTCTTAATTGTTGCAATTGCATGTGGTTTTTGGATTGTAAGTGTTCATGTAGATTTGAATTTTTCACTTTTGGGGGCTTTTTTTAAACAACATATTTTCTGCTGATACACAATAGAGGTTTTGTTTTGAATTGCAAGGACATAATTGTAATGAACTTTTCAATAACTCTTTGCTTGCTTGCTTGTTTTTATATTTCAGAAAGTGCTTTGCTTTCTTATGGATTGTTTGTTTCATTGTGTTGATTAAGTTCATAATCTAATTTTATGTAATGGGAAGGCTGAATGTTCTAATATAAAGAATATGTGCCTAATTTATTTCTAGAGAAAAAAAAAGTATTGGCTTATTCATTTGTTCATTTATGTAGCATGAAGAAAACATTTTCTAGGTACAACAAGTGTCTGCAAGGTTCTCCAGAAATCCCTCTTGTGGAACAAAAAGCAGAGGTGATCCGCATTATATGCTTACAAATGCAAATCTCGTTTCCTTTCGTCGCAAAACAACATATTTCAATTTCGTCATCTGTATGTTCATGTTGTATCTCAAGATGATAGTTGGAAGTTGGAATGGTTACTACCAGTTGAAATAAGTTGACTAAATTTTCTTTCTCGAATATGTTTCTGTTTCATTCATTTTCTTCCTTAGAATGTTTGTAGAAACTAAGGAGGCAGATAATCTGAAGGAGGAAGTTGCAAAGCTGCAAATGAAACAATTGTATGTCATCTTAATTATCTGTTTTGTGTCAAGTGTTATATTTTTCTTCTACAAAGAGATATTACTTTCCCTTAAACTAAGTACTTTTCTGATTTTATAGACAGCTGCAGGGCAAGAACTTGACCAGCATGAGCTTGACGTCCTGGAGCAGCAGCTTAGTGAAGGGTTGTTATCTGTGAAGGAGAAGAAGGTTGTATGACACATTCTCCAAATTCACCAGATCTATTAGGTTAATTACATCATTATTTCTAGAAACAATATGTTAACTTGAGAGGCCTTAACATGAATCCTTCCATGTCAGGAACAATTGTTCATTGAACAACTAGAACAATCGAGAATACAGGTATGTAGGATCCCACTCTGCATGTCCCTTTTTTGGGGTCTAAAAATCACATTTTTTAACAATACAGATGGATGATACAGTTATTCTCCATTTATAAGTTCATTCTGAAAAGAAAATTGAATCTTAATCTAGATAATGCTTGATTATACTTTATGGAAGGGGAAAGGTTTCATGGAACTTGCAACACATTGGCTATAAACACTTGAAGTTACTCTAAAGTGAGAATAATAAGGATATGAGTACGTAAATGGTGGAAACCAGGACGGGGGAAAGGAGATAGAAAGTAATCATATTTGTGAAGTGTCTCACAACGAGAATGGCCGAAAGTTACAGTTCCATGCATCTTTCCTATTGTGTATCTGTCAATGAAGTGGATTAATATCTGTTCACTTCTTAAAGTATATTTTAAAAAATGGAAAGAGAAACCCTTCAAGTTAATTAGTTCATTTGACTTTCTGTTTCCAGGAACAGCGGGCGTTGCTCGAGAATGAAACTTTACGCAGACAGGAAAGTTATATTTTTCTTGACGAAACTGAAAACCATCCATTATGGTTTGGGTCACACTTAACCTATTTTTTACTTCTGCCTACCAATTCAGGTCGAGGAGCTAAGAGGTTTCTTTCCATCAACTGATCACCTGGTCAGATCCTATCTCGAATACTATCCTGTCGAAAGGAAAAGTTCTCTCGTTAGCCATAGTATTCCCAGTCCAGATGGCACCTGTGCTTGCACTGTTGAAAAGGGAGATTCAGACACGACCTTGTATTTAGGGTATGCATTTCTTATACTTGGGTAGTTTGTTCTTAAGATTCCCCAACTTGTTAAAATTATCTGATCATGTCATTTAGTTTTAGCTCGAAGGATCAAGATTGTGTCATTGGTTTTGATAGGAATTCTACAAGCCTTTAAAAGGCATCCAACCACCCTTGATAACAGAGGTCTCTTATGTTATCTATGAATATTGATTTATATTCATGAAAGAATTGATTGATGAATTAATCTGGTTGCCATCACTATAGCTCTACCCATAAGTCTCAAAGCCTGCAATTAGAAATCGTATGACTCTAACAATGTATAACTCTAACAATGAAGTCGATACTTCATTCAATTCTTCATCTCTGATAACAGAATAACTCAGCTCATACTCTTACAATGAAGTTGTTTCCCTTATCATGGCTATTGCCAGTTCTCATAGATTAACCCTCTCCTATCTCTCTCTCTCTCTCTCTCTTTGCAATATCAGGTTGCCAAGTGATTATCCCAAAAGAAAGAAACCTGAAAGAGAAAGCCATTCCAATGACTCCGAGAGGTAATTGGTGGCGATATGATTCTTCCCTTAATGCTGTTCTCGTTGCCTCTAAATCGGGATGACAAAACTTAGTCATGGATATGGTGCAATCAAGTCTAGTTTGGTAGTTTTTTTTTTTAAGTCAACACAGTGCAGTTCTAGATGTTAATGGACATACTTTAGTACTGACAGTTATTGGAGAAAATAGGCTTTTCATTGCAACTTCCTTTACCAACATGAATTAGTGAAGTTGCATTTCATGTTTCATTTGGTGACTCAAGAAAATTTTGTTCTTTTCGGTTCTATTTCTAGAGTTCTCAATCTTCTCTGCAAGTAAAAGTTGCAAGTAAAACTATTTTATTTCCACTAATAACTTTGAAGATACAATATATATATATATATATATATATATATATATATATATATATATATATATATATATATCTGTTTTTCTATTTACACAAGAAATTATTAATTCGATGTCATTGCTTGCATTGTCTAACACCCTGAAGCAGTTCATTTCTGGTTGCCAATACCTTCGAAAACAAGGCATCCACTTGCTTCTCCAATACCTCCATCTGCTTCTCGAAAACACCCAATTTCCCTTCCAAATCCATGGCTGCATCACTAGTTTCCCCATAGACGATGGCTGATACTAGGCAATTGGCTGAATTGTTCAGCTCCTTCACCTCTTTCAATGTCTCACCTTTCTCCACTATAGAAACACATGAATCTATTACATCAATCAACAAAGAACTATTGAACCTGGCAATCACTTGTTTCATCTCCAAGTATGGTTTTGTCTCCCCAGACAAGGAAGCCAAAACAACCCCAAATACCCAAAACCCAATACTCTTCATCTCCACCATAGCTTCATTGACTACCCTTTCCTTGCAAGAACCGAATTTCCCCTCACAATCTTCCTTGTTCAACAATCCCTTGATGTCCTTGCTCGAACTTTGCGGATGGATTGGTTTGAGATGCTCAATAGCCGTGGAAGGTGAATTGCCGACGAGGGTGAGGCCATAAGCAAATGAAAGCTTAACCTGCGACAGGTGAGAAAGAGAGGAACTGACGGAATTGAGAAGATCCAGCAAATGCAAGCCGTAGTTGAGATACTCGTCGAGAGAAGCAGCTTCCCAGCTGGTCATGGGGTAGTCTATGTGCTTGAGTAGCTTTAGAAACGCCTTGTTGATTAGGAGGAGGAGGTGGAGACATTGTTGGATCCATGAAAAAGTCAAGATTTCTGATCTGGGTTCCGGATTGAAAGACAACAACTGGTTCAGACAATTCGAAACATCGGACCTAAAAGCCTGTAGAGAAGCCGACAAAACATCGACCTCTGCTGGATGGTGGTAGTGGTGATTTTCCAGGTTGTGGTATAATTTGCTAAGCTTTTGTACCAAAAGAAGCATTGACTACAAAAGAGAAGCTTTTGATTTTAGTTTGTTTATGGGTAAGATGAGTTGATCTCTGCGTTTTTATTGAGAAGGAAAGTCGGATTTTGGTGTTGCGAAACACTTTAAAATTCAAAAACCAGGTGACATTTTAGCTCTGGTCAAATGTTCTTATCGTGTTTTTTTTTTCTTCCATCAATCTTCTCGTGTTTCTTTATGACTTAATTTAAAGGGAAAATTACTTTGGATATCATCCAATTTTGGACCTTAATTTATTTATATTATTGAACTTTTAATTTTATAAATTTTAGCACTAGTATTATGTTTTACTTTCAATTATACTACTTTGTTATTAATAACTTAATGGGAAGATGACATGGCAACTACAATCCTATAAGAAATCTTTTTTGGCTGCAAAAACCATGAGAATTTGGTCCAGCCTACAAAATCCTTCCTTATATTAGTACTCCCAAGATCAAAGCATCGAAAATCAAGAGAAAACTCAGAAAATTATGAAGTTTTCCTTGTTGGTATTTATTTTGCTCGACTTTGTATTATGAGCATCAACTGCCAACTTTAACCAAGACACGTATGTTACTTGGGGAGAGATGGCATTGGCAAGATTCTCAAGAACGGGCAGCTTTTGACTCTCGGTATCGACAAGATTTTTGGTTCTAATTTTCAATCCATAAATAAATATCTCATTAGGATGATTGATATGAATGTCAAGCTCGTTGTAGGCAATTTTGTTGGCACTGTTATGACTAGGGATGGGAACTCAACCCGAACCTGACGGGTTCCGACCCGATCAGGTTGGATATTTTTTTTAAAAAAAATCGGGTTCGGGTCGAGCTTTTTAAATGTGATATTCGGGTCGGGGTCGGGTTTAAGGCGAAAAATATCCTACCCGACCTGGAAAAATATATAATTTTACCTTATATATTTAGAAATAATTACAATAATACCCCTCTATATATAATTTTTTTAATTAAGTCACTGTTTTTATTGAATACAAATATTTTTTTATTATTATTTTGGGTCGGTCAGGTTTCTAAGTTATATATTCGGGTCGGGTCGGGTCTAGTGAAACCTTATTTTGATCGGGTCGGGTCGAGTCTCGGGTGGAGGCTCCATTGTTCTCGGGTCGGGTCGGGTGGACCAAAAATCCGACCCAACCCACGCCCATCCTTAATTATGACATGCTGATGACATCTCATTATCTTATGATGACACATTAGTATCATCGTTAATTTTTTAACGATGAGTGATCAAAATGAAACTAAAACAAAACATTATGTATAATTTTAGAATTAAAAATAGTTGGATAACCAAAATGAAATAAAAATAATAGTTGGATACTAAACTTGTAGTTTACCCAATATGTTTTTAGTGCACTCAAAACACGGTTTTGTGTAATAACAAGGGGTAGTTTGCAAGCGAAGAATGGGTCCCTGATGTGTTTGTTTTTTTATTATGATTGGTACGGGATAAGTAACTTTTTTTCAAAGGATTTTAATTATTTAATATTAAATACTTTTATTTTTAATATACATGATGTTTACATTTAGAACATCAAAAAATAATAATAACTTATTAATTATTAAGATAACTTAATTCATGCAACCTCTAGTGATGGATTCTTAGACCGGAAGGATGAATATAAAACAAAGTCATCTATTTAGATGTCTTGTAAGTAATATTGATTGGACCATAGTAAAATTAATTACATCATCGGTTATCAGTCCAATCAGTTGATAAATAATCAATTATAAATTTCATAAAAAAATGAATAAATGTTAAAAATTCAAAATTCAGTTTAATTGGTTAAGTTTAAGATCAGTTTAATTGCTCATGATGGATCTCATTTTAAGAATCGTATTTATAAATAAAATTTTAAATTTAAATTATATAAATAAAAAAATATGTTTTATTCAAAGATTTAGTTTGATTTAATTTGAAATATAATTAAAATAAAAAAATATAAATATATATATATATATATATATATGAAATATATATATTATATTTTAATGAACATATATATATATATATATATATAATCAGAGCTGGCTATAGGGGAGCAAGCACCCTGAGCAACAGCTCAGCCCCCACTTTATACCTTAGTTAGGGTCATATTTTTTTAAGTTTATAAAACTCTCTACCTTAATTATGAAGCGCCTCTAATTTTTTTTCAATTTTATAAAATAATTTGTACTTTTTACTTTTATAATTGAGGGTATTAGTTTTTTTAATTTTATAAAATAGTCTCACTTTCTACATTTATAACCGAGGGTTCCTATTTTTTTCAATTCTATAAAATTCTTAATTTCTCTTCCCTTTCTCCATCTCTCTCATTAGTTCATTCAACTTTGAATTAAATCTAACTATATTTTTCTCTATTTCCAAAATCTTATTCTTCAATTTATTAAATTTTCCTTAACTCTTAATCTTCTTTAATCTTAATTTAACAGTAAAATAATATATTATTCTTCATTTTTTATTTATTATTCATAATCAATCTTCATATCATACTCACATAAGGAAGGGCATAAGTCGGGATTCGACTAACCCGACCAAAAAATTTTACATTCTTCACCCGACTCGAAAAATATATAACCTCCACCCGACCCAAATTTTTTGAGAGAAAATCCAAACTCGACCCGAAATAATAAAAAATATTATTTTTATTCAATAAAAACAGTGATTTAATTGAAAAATATATAGAGGGGTATTATTATAATTATTCCTAAATATATAAGGTAAAATTATTTTTTGGGTCGGGTCGGATATTTTCCACCCTAAACCCGAATTTGACCCAACCCAAACATCACCTTTTAAAAAAACGACCCGACCTGAACCCAATTCTTTTAAAAAAAATCCGAATCGATAAGGTCGAGTCGGGTTCGAGTCCCATACTTATCTCTATACTCTCTCTCACACACACATATATTATCACTTAGTTGTATTTAAGATGTTTTCTAACAAGACAACGAAAATAATATGTTTAATAAATTTTTCTTTTTATAATTTATAATATACTATTAAATTAATTGTTTAAAGTAATAAAATATATTTTAATTTTATAAGGTTTATATTTGAGTTTTTGCTCAAGACTTCAAAAATGTTCAAGATAATTCTATATATAATTGAAAATTTTTATAATTAAATAATTTTATGCGATTTAGGGTTTCTGAGACGTTAAATCATTAGAAGTAGTATGTGGAGTGGGTGGTGAATGCAAGCATGTGGCAACTAATGTGATTAAACAATCTCATGCACCATTGACCGTAGGCTTCGTGTCTTCGACACCAGAGTTTATTTATTTATCGACACACCTTGTGGTAATAAAGAATTTTATTAAATAATTATTTTAATTTTTATTATTTTCTTTTAAAATGAATTTTAATGTCTTATTTTATGGAAAAAGAAATATCCATTTTAAAGCGTTAATCATATATTAATTAATAATTTTCATCTACGAAAGATTTTGTACTCTAAAATAAAATATTAAGGGTTAAAATAATTTTAAAAAACAGAAACTAAAAATAAATAATTTGATAAATGTTACGAGCTAATTTGACATTATGATTATTTATTTTATGACATTCGAAGGGTTCATCAGACATAATGCATTCAGAATATTTTAATTTCACAATTTTCTAATTGATTTTCTAAAACTATCCCTTTCTCTAAGCTATTTTTATTTTCTTAAAATCTTATGCGTCTCTGTGAGAAATCTTAATTAATTTAATTATATATAATTTTATAAATTATTTAAAAATTAAATGATCAATAATATCGAGTAGAAGATGCAGTCTGAAGTGGCCCATTTTGACCCATTTGAAGTTTTAGAATAGAGAAAATAACCTCAGTGATTAAAAATGTCTTATAATATACGATTTTAATCAATTTTTTTTAGATTTGCCAAAATGACCAATTAAATTGCAATGCGATCGATAATTCGCAACGCGATCTCCGGTATCGCTAATCAGTTTCCAGATTCGCAACGCGAACTTCGACTATTGCATTGCGATTTACATATTCGCATTGCGATAGTCAAAGTTCGCGTTGCGATAGTCGAAGTTCGCGTTGCGATTTATTCTAAATTCATTGCGATTTATTCCAAATTCGTTGCGATAGTCCAAGTTCGCGTTGCGATTTATTCCAAGTTCGTTGCGATAGTCGAAGTTCGCGTTGCGATTTATTCCAAATTCGTTGCGATAGTCCAAGTTCGCGTTGCGATTTATTCCAAATTCGCTGCAATAGTCCAAGTTCGTTGCGATAGTCGAAGTTCGCATTGCGATTTATTCCAAATTCGTTGCGATAGTCCAAAATCGCAACGACGGTATTGCATTTGTTTCTTAAGAATTTTATCTAAAAAGATAGTATTCGCACGGACGTGTCGAAGACACGTATTACCACGACCACGACCACGAGACGGGACGGCGGCGGCGGCGGCGTGCAAGAGTCTCCCTTATTCTCTATCACTCAACAAGGAAGTGGGAAAGCCAAGCCTTAAATATCATTCCCAATAGTGTTTCCAATACTATGTGGGATTGAGCATTACCAACACTTGCTCCCAATACTATGTGGGATTGAGCCTTAAATAGTGATATTATTTTTTAATGTTTTGCTTAAAATTGTAATAATCGCGATTGATTGTAGATTGACTTTTAATTATGACATATTTAATCGTATAATACTAATGCAATTGGTTGCTAATTCAGTTGTTTTAAGGTGCATGATTGTTAATTGTTTCCTGAATAATCACATAGTATTGGAAACAAGTGTTGGTAATGTTCAATCCCACATAGTATTGGAAACACTATTGGGAATGGTATTTAAGACTTAGCTTTCCCACTTCCTTGTTGAGTGATAGAGAACAAGGGGGACTCTCACGCGCCGTCGCCGCCGCCGTCCGTCTCGTCTCGTCTCGTGGTCGTGGTAATACGTGTCTTCAACACGTCCGCGCTAATACTATCTTTTTAGAGAAAATTCTTAAGAAACAAATGCAATACCGTCGTTGCGATTTTGGACTATCGCAACGAATTTGGAATAAATCGCAGCGCGAACTTCGACTATCGCAATGCGAACTTGGACTATCGCAATGCGAATATGTAAATCGCAATGCGATTATCGAAGTTCGCGTTGCGATTGTCGAATTTGGAAAATCGCAACGCGAACTTGGACTACCGCAATGCGAACTTCGACTATCGCATTGCGATTTACATATTCGCATTGCGATATTCCAAGCTCGCATTGCGATAGTCCAAGTTCGCATTGCGAATCTGGAACCTGATTTGTGATACCGGAGATCGCGTTGCGAATTATCGATCGCATTGCGATTTAGTTGGTCATTTTGGCAAATCCAAAAAAAGTTGGTTAAAATCGTATATTATAAGGCATTTTTGGTCACTGAGGTTATTTTCTCTTTAGAATATGATTTATAGTTCAAATGAATATCAGGATAAACTAGTTGTATGACCATTTGACTATTTCTCCTTTTCACTTTGGCTACTAATCTTTCGATTTGGTCAATCGTCCACCTAACTATTTAAACGATTCAATCAAGCCTCTAATCGTTAACATCTAACGAAGAAGATCACGTGACAGTTAAAAATGTTGGTACAATTACGTATTTAGCCCTTAATACTTACATATTTTATCAAATTTTAATTATATTAAAGTTTTAAATTTCCACGTCATCTTCTTCGTTAAATGTTAACATTAGTGTTTTGATTGAATCGTTTAAATAATTAAATGGTCTGATTAATAAAATAAAAAATTGATAGTCAGAAATCATACTAATAGTTTAACCAAAATATTATCTGTGGGATCAATGTATATAGTATAGGCTACTCTGCAAAGATAAAATTGATCTAATTAGAGTGTTGCCTTATTAGGCCCATTTTTGAAAGATAAATAATGAGGATAATGATTGAAACAAGGTCCCTAACTTGCCTTTCTCGTCACAACTTCCATTACTTTAAAGGTCCAAATGTGATTTCACTTTATGCTCTAATATTATTAGAATCTTTAAATTAATACTATTATTAATTATTACTGTTAGAGTAATGAGACAAATTTTGATTAAAATAATTTGAATATTCAATTATTATATCAGTTTGTAACTAATTGAAAATATTTTTTTATTTGTCTATTTAGAACTTGATGTAGTCTTATCATCTTCAATTAAAAGAAAGTTAATACATGACTTTAAATTAAAATGCCGAGATTGCAAAAAGATCTGAATCCAACATCTTTAAACAATAATTACAATTTAAAATATTTATCATTCGAGTCCCCTATATTTTAATTTAAATTTTTATAAGCCCCCTATTTTTTTATTATATTTTTTTATTTTTATAATTGAGTCCTTTTATTTTCTTCAATTTTATTTTTATATGTATAATTGAGGTCCCCAATTTTTATAATCACACTTTCTATTTTTATAATTGAGACCATTAATTTTTTCAATCCCACTTTTTTATATTTATAATTGATGACCCTAATTTTTTTCAATCTCATTTTTTTACCTTTATAATTGAGCTCTTAATTTTTTCAATATCACTTTTTACCTTTATAATTGAGGTCCCTAATCTTTTAATTCACTTTTTACCTTTAAAATTGAGTCCTCAATTTTTTTTAATCTCATTTTTTACCTTTAAAATTGAGACCCCTAATTTTTCAATCATACTTTTTAATTTTATAATTTAAATCCCTAATTTAATTATTTTCTACGATTTATTAACGTAATTTTAAATTAATTATTCATAGTAATATAATATACTTTCAAATTAAACCCTTATTCTTATTATCATTTTAAATATGCCTACTTCGACTCCACTACTCGTTCAAGCTCTGGGGAAAAAAACTTCGCTTGTTTCAGTTCCATACGATTTCTTTACCTTTGCACATTCAATTCAATCAAAATTCTCATAGTATATTATACTACTATATCTATATGACATGTTCTTCGTGCATGCATTGTTGGCTTTGATTTACATCTTGTCTCCTTTTCATTCTTCTTCTGCATTAAATATTCTTCAAAATATGATATAAAAGAAACCCACTTTTGGATCTAAATACTATCTTCCTTCCCTCTCTCATTCCCACAGAAAGTAAGAGCAAATCCAATGGAGAGATACCCTTTTCTCCTTCTTACTTTCTTCTTCATCGTCTCATCCATGGTGGCTCCGATTCATTGCCGGAAGCAAACACAAGCTCTAGGCCATCTTTACAGGAACAAGATGAAGGGAGGTTCTGGCATTAACAAGGGCCATTTCAAGCCAATTCATCACATAAACAATAGCAGGGTTCATCTGCAGCAAGGGATGAGAGAAAAGGACATAATTCAAATGTTGCCCGGACAGCCTCGTGTCTCGTTTGAACAATACGGTGGGTATGTAACGGTGGATAAATCGGCAGGTCGTGCACTTTATTATTTTTTCGTCGAGGCTCAGCATTATTCCAAGGAGTCTTTGCCTCTTCTTCTTTGGCTCAATGGAGGTACTTTTCAATAAATTATTCTCTTTCCATTGATATGCATTCTGGGTTTTTGTTTTTGGTTATATGATGAAGATGAACTTTCAAGTCACAGGATTCTTATCCGAAATTTTTTAATATCTCCATTATTGCTCAAGTAGTTGCCTGGCTACTTCTGTTTCACTCACTCTCTTTCCTATAATGAGGCCACGTTTCTTGCGACATGCAAACAATTTTTTAATATCTGAAATGAAATATTTTTGGATAAAGTACATAAATAGTCCCCGACTATTAAAAGTTACAAAATGATTGTTCGACTATTTATATGTTCTAAACTCATCGTTTTTCGTTGAAAATTGATGGTTGTATGAGATAGACATCAACTTGTTGATTGAGATATGATAAAATATGATCTCATAATTATTTGAATTGTATTTTGTGGATCGAGTCTCCGGTTACATTATGTCATTGAGTCAGTGCTTGAAAGCAACGACGGTGCATGTAGACATCATTAAAATATAAACATATCATAACCTAGTCAATAGTTTAATGTACAACTCAGACGGTCGTCAATTTTTTAATTACAAATGGTAAATTTGGAATATATGAATAGTCACCCAACTATCCATATTCCAAAACTTGTCCTTTTCCGTAAATAAAATTAACAATTGTTTAAGTTGAACATTAACCTGTTGATTGAAATATGATAGAATATGATCCCAAAATTGTTTGAGTTGTATTTTGTGGATCAACTCTCCTTTTACATTATGTCGTCATGTCAATGCTTGAAACATTTTGTCATCAATCTAGTGCTTGAAATTAACAGCTATACCAGTAAACATCATTAAAATATAAACTTATCATATCCCAGTCAATATGTTAACGTTTAGCTCAGACGACCATTAATTTTTTAACGAAAAAGTATGAGTTTGAAGTCTTTTAATAGTCGAGGGACTCAATAAAATATCACCATATAGTCAAAGGATTATTTTATAATTTTAAATAGTTGAGAGTCCTAATAATGTAACATTCTATAATCAGGGACCTTTTGTATACTTTACCCTTTTTAAAACCAGGGAATATCAATCACATTCAATTATGGGTTGGCCTTTTAGGCTACCACATTTTGCGGGGATGGCATGGTTTGAAATCCAATAATTTACTCATGTGGAGGATTTCACGGCATGTTCCTCTACCAATTTAATCTTTTTAAAATCAGAGATGAAATCATCCCAACATGCCTATTGTCTTGTTGCACCCATTTTTTTTTTTAGAGAAAATAATCTCATTGACCAAAAATGTCTTATAATATACGATTTTAACTAATTTTTTTTGGATTTGTCAAAATGACCAACTAAATCGCAATACGATCGATAATTCGCAACGCGATCTCCGGTATCGCAAATCAGTTTCCAGATTTGCAACGCGAACTTCGACTATCGCAATGCGAACTTGGACTATCGCAATGCGAATATGTAAATCGCAATGCGAATATGTAAATCGCAATGCGAATATGTAAATCGTAATGCGATAGTCGACTATCGCAATGCGAATATGTAAATCGCAATGCGAATATGTAAATCGTAATGCGATAGTCGACTATCACAATGCGAATATGTAAATCGCAATGCGATAGTCGACTATCGCAATGCGAATATGTAAATCGCAATGCGATAGTCGAAGTTCGCGTTGCGATAGTCGAAGTTCGCGTTGCGATAGTCCAAGTTCGCATTGCGATAGTCGACTATCGCATTGCGATTTACATATTCGTATTGCGATAGTCCAAGTTCGCATTGTGATAGTCCATGTTCGCATTGCGATAGTCGACTATCGCATTGCGATTTACATATTCGCATTTCGATTTACATATTCGCATTGCGATAGTCGACTATCGCAACCAAGTTCGCATTGCGATAGTCGAAGTTCGTATTGCGATAGTCGAAGTTCGCGTTGCGAATCTGGAAACTGATTTGCGATACCGGAGATCGCGTTACGAATTATCGATCACATTGCGATTTAGTTGGTCATTTTGACAAATCCAAAAAAAGTTGATTAAAATCGTATATTATAAGACAATTTTAGTCAATGATTTTTTTTTTTTATTACAATCATTATGTTTTCCAGAACCTGAATGAGTGATTGTCCTTTTTTTATGGTTAAATCATTGGGGGTTTACTTTTCTACTGTCTCTTTTGTTCACATTTGCTATTAAAATATTCAGAAATACAAAGAAAAAAAACTGTCGTACTTTATCCTTATTCCCTACATCTAAGTCTAATTGGTGTTTGATGAAATGTCAGTGAAAAATACTAATTTGATGGTATGATATTTGCAATCAGGGCCTGGCTGTTCATCTCTAGCCTATGGAGCAATGGAAGAGCTTGGACCTTTCAGAGTTCACAGCAATGGGAAAACACTTTATAAAAATAGATACTCATGGAACTATGGTAACATTATAACATTATGATTAAACTATTCATCTAACATCCTAACTATCACTTTTATTTCATTTTAGTCTTTAACTATTATTTTTTTTAAAATCATACCTAATCTTATATTTTGATTTCTTTTTGGTCACCCGTTGTTAAAAATTAACAGAATTGCTAACGTGATATTTTTTTAAATTTTAATAATGACGTGGTATTACCTTATGGTGACACGTTAGTATTACTGTTAATTTTTTAACGGTAGGTGACCAAAAATGACACCAAAACGTAATGTAGGAATGATTTTGAAACAAAAAAAATTTAGATAACCAAAACGGAATAAAAGTGGTAATTGGGAGTACTAAACGTGTAGTTTACCCTAAAATTATTATCTTCTAAATCTTAACAATTTTTCGTTCTATGTTATTTTCTTAAAACTGCAGCCGCAAATGTTTTGTTTGTGGAGTCTCCTGCTGGGGTAGGATTCTCATACTCCAACACCACATCGGATTACGACAAGAGTGGTGATGGTAAAACAGCTGATGACAATTATGTCTTCCTGTTAAACTGGTTGGAGAGGTTTCCTGAATATAAGAAGAGGGAATTCTACATCGCCGGAGAAAGCTATGCGGGGCATTATGTCCCTCAACTTGCTCACACCATTCTCCTACACAACAAGAAAACTAACGAAACCATTGTGAATCTCAAAGGAATCCTAGTATGTCTCTGTCTCTCTCTCTTTCGATCAATAGTAAAGCTACTGGCATTGGTTAACCTTTTATTTTATGAAAATGTTGCAGATTGGGAATGCCGTGATCGATGATGAAACCGATACCAAAGGAATGTATGATTACTTAGAGAGCCATGCACTCATTTCGGATGAAACTGCATACGGGATTAAAAAATACTGTAGTTTTTCTTCGGATGAAAACTCGGAGATCAGTCGAGAGTGCGAAACAGCCATTGAAGATATAACCAAGGATACTTATTACCTTGATATTTACAATATCTATGCCCCTTTATGCCGCAATTCCAGTCTCACAGTCATTCCAAAGAAGCCTTCCGTAAGTTGTTTAATTGAATATTCATACTATGTTCATTCATATGTCTGTTAATCTGATTCTTTGATGTTCCATTACTATATGGTGTAGGTGGAGAATTTCGATCCGTGCAGCGACAATTACATATATGCTTATCTAAACAGAGCCGATGTCCAAGAGGCCATGCATGCCAATGTCACGAAACTCCACCATGATTGGGAAGCCTGCAGCGAACTCATTGGCAGATGGGGAGATAGCCCTTCAACCATCATTCCCATTTTACAGGAGTTAATGGCTAATGGACTCAGAGTGTGGATTTTCAGGTGTATAAGCGTTGCCGTTCTCGGTTTTTGTTTACACTTATCACCAATTCACCATTGTTTTGTTTATATATGCGTGATATATGTCTTTTTATGTAAATGCAGTGGCGACACAGATGGGAGAGTACCAGTTACTTCAACCAAGTATTCCATCAAGAAGATGAAGCTTCCGGTTAAAACCAAGTGGCACCCGTGGTACCTTGATGGGGAGGTAAAACTTCGGGGCTATTTCAGATACGAGTCAGTTTCCATTCAAGTCATTTTGAATATTGATAGAGATGTATTTGTATGGCAGGTTGGAGGGTTATACAGAAGTGTACAGGGGAGGTTTAACGTTTGCTACCGTAAGAGGGGCGGGGCACCAAGTGCCAAGCTTCCAACCAAAGAGGGCACTTTCATTGATCAAGCACTTTCTTGAAGGCACAACTCTCCCAGATACCTCACGTTATGAGTGATTTCCTCTACCACATTTCTTTCATTGTTTTCAGGAAAATTGTGTATCATATCATATTCTTCTCTCACCAAAATTATTGAACTCGAAAAATACATATACAAATAATGTCCTAAATTATTCAATGAAATGTATTTGGTTTTTTGGCTTCATCAATCAAATTGTGCAATCTGATATGGTACTATAGGAGTCATCCAATCTGATATAGTTTCCATTCAGTTTAATCCTAAAGTGCAAAAATAAAATAAAGTCTTTGACAAGCTACATTGCCAAATTCGTTGACATGTTACTTTATTAAAATTATCAACGTACTACTTTATTAAAGTTGATTTCCACTATCAACAAATTTGATAATCAGAATCTACCTTATTTTCTTAAAGTTAGGGTAAACTATATAAATGGTTCCTCGATTATAGGATATTATTTTGTTGAGTCCTTTAACTATTAAAAGTTATAAAATAGTCTTCCGACTATTAAAAGTTATAAAATGTTCTCCCGACTATAGAGAGCTGCTTTATTGAGTCCATCGACTATTAAAAATTACAAAACGGTCATTCAACTATTCATTATATGTTCCAAACTTTTTTTTTCGTTAAAAAATTAGCGTCCATCTGAGTTGGACGTTAACATGCTGATTGAGATGTGATAGTCGTTTGACATTATGAAAATCATATTTTATCATATCTCAATCAGCATATTAACGTCTAGCTCTGACTGTCGTTAATTTTTAATGGAAAAGGACTAGTTTGGAACATAGTGAATAGTCGGGTAATCATTTTGTAACTTTTAATAGTCGAATGACTTAACAAAATAATATCTTATAGTCAGGTGACAATTTCTATACGTTACCCAATTTTTTTTTGAAATCAATATTACTAAAAAAGAATTCAACCATAATATTTCATCAATTAAACCTAGTTTATGACAACACACAAGTTATTGGAGCTTTAATCAACTCCAAACTTGATTTTTGAATGCGAAACTGAGATTTCCATCTTGGGAAGTAACCATGGCTATTTTACTCGATGCTTAATTAATTTATACGATTACTTTCAAAAGACTGAAGTAGTCCCATTCCACGTCTGCTTCCTCCGTCCATTAAAATAACAAGGGTAAACTACAAGTCTAATACCAAAACTATTACATTTATTTTGTTTTGATATTTAAACTTTATTTTTTTCAAAACCGTACTTAATATTTAGTTTAAGTTTCATTTGGTACTCGGCGCTAAAAACTTAAAGATAATATTGGTGTGTTATCATAAGATAATTTCACGTCATCATTGAAAAATAATAAAATATAACGTTAATAGTTCTGTTAATTTTTTAACGACGGGTATTAAAATGAAAAATAAACTAAATGTTAAGCATGATTTTAAAAATAAATAAAATTTAGGTACCAAAAAAGAATAATGGTAATAGTTTAGATACAAAATGTATAGTTTACCCAAAAATAAAAACAAAAACAAAAACCGGAACCAAACACGCTTTTTACTCCATCTCGAACTTGAGCTCTGTCGTTTCCATCTGGTGGGTGATCTCTATTTACTTTCCGATCAAAGACTTCCGGTCCGTTCCATGGAGTGTGGACTCGCTGTGGTTGGCGAGAACTTCATCTCTTCCATCCTTGGGGATTTTGTCCGAGGAACTGGTCTCCCCTATGCTGCTGGAGTTTGCTCGCAAGGAGCAGCTCCATACCCATCTCACGAAATGGGAAACCGTCCTCTTGAAGATCCAGGCAGTGCTCGAAGATGCAGAGGAGAGGCAATTCACTGATCGCTTCGTTAAGTTATGGCTTGACGACCTCAAAGACTTGGCCTACGACATTGAGGATGTGCTCGATGACTTTTCCACGGTTGCTCTGCGCCAAAGGTACAAGAAAGAAAGTCAGACAATCACGGGCAAGATACGGAAATACTTTTATTCCTTTTTTTGATCAATTTACTTTTAAGTATAAAATGGGATCTAAGATAAAGGAGATAACCGCGAGATTGCAGGATATTGTAAAACAAAAGGATGACCTTGGTTTAATAGAAAGAATTGGGGGTAGCCGTAATAGGGTGCAACAAAGGATTGCCAGTACTTCTTTGGTGAATGAATCGCTTGTCTTTGGTAGGGACAATGATAAAGACTTCATTATTAATCAACATATTTTCGGGGAGGAAGAATCATTTGAGGGTGGGATTTCTGTGATTCCCATAGTTGGAATGGGGGGCTTGGGGAAGACTACTCTTGCTCAGCTCGTTTATAATGATGTTAGTGTTGAGGCTTACTTTAAATTGAGAGCTTGGGTTTGTGTTTCTGAGGAATTTGATGTTGTTAGAGTGATGAAAACACTGTTAGAATCCTTCACTTCAAGGGCTTCTGATGTGAATGACTTGAACGAGCTGCAAGTTAGAGTGAAGGAGATTCTGTCTAAGAAGAGATTTCTGATAGTTCTAGATGATGTTTGGAACGAGAATTACAACGATTGGATGGCTCTTCGCAGTCCTTTTGAAGTAGGTTCTTCAGAAAGTAAAATCATCGTTACAACCCGTAACCAAGGTGTTGCATCAATGATGGGAACTGTTCCTGCTTACCATTTGAAAGAAATGTCTTATGATCATTGCTTGTCTTTGTTCACGCAGCATGCTTTAGGGAGTACGAATTTTGATCATCACACGAATTTGAAAGTAATTGGTGAGGCAATCGTGAAAAGGTGTAAGGGCTTGCCATTGGTTGTGTGAAAACCCTTGCAGGCCTGTTGCGCTGCAAGAAGGATTATCGTGAATGGGAAGATATACTGAACAATAAGATATGGGATTTGCCAGAAGGGAATAGTGATATTCTACCAGCCCTGAGGTTGAGCTACTATTATCTTCCTTCTCATCTGAAAAAATGTTTTGCTTATTGTTCAATATTCCCCAAGGACTATGAATTTCAAAAGGATGAAGTAGTTCATTTGTGGATAGCTGAAGGTTTTATCCATCAACTAAAGGGAATGAAGCATGTGGAAGAATTGGGTTCTGAGTATTTTCATGATTTAGTTTCAAGGTCCTTTTTTCAACAATCAAGTGTTAGAAAATCTTGTTACATGATGCATGACCTCATCAATGATTTAGCTCAATATGTTGCTGGGGAAGTTTGCTTTAGGTTGGAGGACAAGATCAATAGCAACGGGCAGTACAACGTCTCTGTGAGGGCTCGCCATTCCTCATTCATTCGTCAGAAGTACGACATCCTCAGAAAATTTGAACCCTTCTACAAAACAAAATGCTTAAGAACATTCTTGGCTTTACCTGTTTTCATGCCAGATCTGCAAGTAGAATGCTATTTAACTAATAGTGTTTTCCAAGACCTGCTGCCAAAACTTGGATGCTTAAGAGTTCTATCTCTGAGTGGTTATTGCATCAGTGAGCTGCCAGATTGTATTGGTGATCTTAGTCACTTGCGATACCTGAATTTATCTCGCACTAAAATTAGATACTTACCTGAGTCACTTTGTGATCTCTGCAACCTACAGACATTAAACTTGAGAGACTGTAAGAAACTTACTAAATTGCCTCAAGGAATGGGGAATCTAATTAGTCTCCAGTATCTTAATATTGTAGATACTGATAATTTGACAGAGATGCCATTGCATATCGGTAACTTGATCAATCTCAAGAAGCTGTCAAAGTTTATTTTGGGAAAAGGCAATGGGCGAAGGATAACAGAGTTGAAAGGTTTGTCACATCTTCAAGGGAAACTTTCACTATATGGCCTGCAAAATGTGGCAGCGATTCGAGAAGTAAGGGTTGCCAATCTGAAGGAGAAATGTGGACTTGATGAGTTAGTAATGAAATGGAGTAACTGTCCGAATGATATTCAGAGTGAAGTAGATGAATTTGAAGTTCTTGACATGCTAGAACCCCATCAAAATCTGAAGAAGCTGAGCATATTGTGCTATGAAGGATCAAAGTTCCCATCTTGGATTGGTAATCCTTCATTTGTTAATACGGTGTACCTAAAACTCTGTGATTGTTCGAAAATCACATCATTACCTTCACTTGGGAGATTACCTTTCCTCAAGGACTTGCACATTGAGGGAATGAGTGGAGTAATTCTTGTGGATTCTGCATTTTATGGGGCTACTTATTCTGATAAGCTTTTTCCCCTCCCTGGAGACTCTAACATTTGGAGAAATGTCGAAGTGGGAGAAGTGGTCTCAACCTTTGGATTTTGAAGCTGCAGAAAGAAACTTCCCCCATCTTCAGGAACTTGTGTTGCAGAGTTGTCCAAAGTTGGTAGGGGATGTGCCCAACTTGCTTACATCCCTAGAAAAGCTTTCCATTTGTGAATGTCCACTCCTCACAGAATCTTTTCTGAGCCTCCCATCCCTTCACGAGTTGAACCTAGAAAAATGTGATGAGCTATTTCTTACAAGGTTCAAGGACCTCACTGCTCTTACTAGGTTGAAAATTGAGAACATTTCCAATCTTTCTTGTTTACCTGAAGACTTTACGTGCTTGGTATCACTAGAAGTTCTTGAGGTTGAAGATTGTGGTGGACTGAAAATCCCTGTGGCAAGTGGGTACCAGATTTGAAGAACTTTCATGTTTGAAGCGCTTAGCAGTCATGAAATGTCCTCAACTGTTGCAGTTGATAGATGAAGATGAAGCGCTGCCCTCCAGCCTAGAGTATATTGATATAGAAGATTGCAGTAACCTGATGAAGCTTCCAAATGGTATTCAAAATCTTAGATCATTGAAAGACTTGAGTATTAAATGGTGCCCTAAACTATCGTCTTTTCCAAGTGGAAGTTTTCCGTATATGCTAAAAAATCTGGTAATCTTGGGATGTGCCTCTTTACAGTCTTTACCTAGAGGACTGGTCCACAATGGTAGCAAAGTCATCACCAGATGTCATCTTGAAAACTTAGAGATTCTGGGGTGTCCATCTCTCAGATTGTTTCCAACTGATGAGTTACCAGCTGCTCTTAAGTACCTTGAGATCTGGGATTGCAATTCTATTCCAGAGAAGTTGCTGCAGAACAATAAATCACTTGAATTCATTCGTATTGGAAACTGCAAAATCTTGAAAACCTTACCTCGTTTCCTGTCCACCTTTGAACATCTCACTGAGATGCATGTAAATCAATGCTCTTCCTTGGAGTACTTCCCAGACAGTGGGTTGCCCATCCATAACCTCAAAACAATGTTAATTGCTAACTGTGATAATCTCAAATCCCTACCCAATCGGATGCATGACCTCACATCCCTACAATATCTTACAGTATTTGGTTGTTCACGTATAGAAACTTTTCCAGAGGAAGGTTTTCCCCCAAACCTGCTATCTCTTTCTATATGGGGCTGCAAGCGAGTAAAGCTACGCTTTGCAATGTGGCGCCTGCACAAGCTCACTTCTCTTAAAGACTTGAGTGTTGGCGATTTTGATAGAGATATGGTTTCCTTTCCAGAAGACTCTTCAATTCCTCCAAATCTAGTCCACCTTCGAGTCCAGAGTCTACCTGAGCTGAAATTTCTATCTGAGGGGCTCCTGGACCTAGTTTCTCTTGAAGCATTAGATGTTTGGAATTGCCCTAAGCTCCGGTACTTGCCAAAAAATGGCCTGCCTATCACTCTCGGTGTACTTCGAATTAGAAATTGTCCTCTACTAGAAAAAGAATGCCGAGGTGAGAAAGGTGCCTATTGGCCAATTATATCTCTCCTTCCTCACGTGAGGATAAATTATGCTGACATCTTGTGAACAAGCACAAGCAGATTGCATTCCTAGATCGACAGCAAAGAAAAGAGCATAGTGGCCAATTCTTCCCCACCTTCACTAGTGAGGATACATTATGTTGACACCTGTTGAACAAGCACAAGCAGATTGCATTCTAGATGGACAGCAAAAACCATCGGCTAATTCCTCTTGTTCAATTTGGTAAATCCTTGTTTTAACAACACTTTTGGCCCTCAACTTGTAACATATTTACTGATACATATTTATCTGTGCATTTTTTGGTAAAAGAAGACTTGGGTATAATTTATATTACCTCCCATCTATTTTTGCAGCTAACTCACAAGGAGCATATTGTATGACATTGTTGGCCTTTAGAAGACAAGGAAAGATAGAAGGTTTACTTAATGAACATACTCAAGAAAACGTTTTCATAATATTCTTTAATTTTATATTTTGGGATGTATCTAAAAATTGGGTTACCCTCTCCCTATCATAAGGTCACACTAAGCCTCTAGTATTGTCACACCATAACCTTCTTGTTATGTCTTTGTTTCTCTCAGTTTGTAATCAAGTGTAACAATTAGTAACATTTTACATTACAGGCTTTGGAAAATATCACATGCATGATCAAGCTGTTTGGTTATAAATTGCGGGTATGATCATCTTTGCTCCTTATGAAATGGCTGACTGTTATACTAGGAGAAAATATGCTAAGTGGTGTCGTATAATGTGCTGTTCTGATGCAAAGGTGTCATGTTCTTTGACTTATCATATTTATATCGATGCTTTTTCTACGGTTAGCATACTTTCAGTAAAGAGTTGAGGTTCCAATATTCTGAAAATTGGTGGTATGGTCATCCCGACCTACCCCAAACTAGTATAATATTTCCCCCACAGATGTTGTCTTTATTATTCAGTACAATGTGAAGTCAATTTTTATAACTTACTAACCACCTAGGTAACAATTTGAAGCATGATTTTGTGCTTTGTTATTGGATGCAGTTCAACTGTGTGATCCTTGACAAAGGAACAAGTGGCTTCCATTTGAAGAGCATAGGTTGAGGGGGATCATCTTCCAAAGCAATAATATTTGGAGGAATCTATAAATCATGAAACAAATTCCTGTGAAATTATTTCCTTATATAGCCCACTCTACTAGCATGCTGCCGAGTCGCAGATAATTTCAGTTCACATATAGTGATAATGCTTGAAGGTTCAAACTGCACTCTCTCTTGAGGAAAGCTAAGCTTCCCTTCTTGATGTCATTCAGGTGCACCAGTCGACAACAGAATCTTTAACTTGAAGCAAGTTTTAAGATAGCCTAAAAAAGGGTAAAGATTGAGCCCCAACACTTGCATAAGACACTAGTCACTAAGCATGCTTACAAGAAAACAAAATTCCGATCTTCAACCACCATGACAAATAAATGCGCATTTTGTATGTAAAATTCTAATGCAAATTATATTATGAAATCCGATCATCGAGTGTGGTCAACTGAAACACACCTTGTCTCTGACTTTAAATCTCTTTAGAATAAACTAAAAAACAAAGATAAAATCATCTCAGGAAACATAGTTATGGAAGGTATTTTTGAAGAATAATTAGTTGATATGAATGACATTTGTGATGTCTTATGTTTAGCATGCTTGAACTCCACTTTAAGTATTGTGGATAATCAGATTATCTACTTCTTTGAGTTGGTGAACTTTGCCCAAATTATGGCTACTTATGGTAGTTTTTATGCTCCTGGTATTTTCTACAACAGCTAATTTGAATTAAAACTTATCTGTTCTAATTATCCTCTCATATAAGTGATTTGCTTTCTGTGTTGTCTTGCAAACTGCATTTTTGTTTGCTTTGCAGCCTTTTTTGCATTATGGAGTTCATTGATCAGCTGTTGAGGCTGGCCAACGACTCGAATTCTTCCCCTCGAATAATCCACAAACTATCTGATCTACCAAGTGTTGCTGTTATTTCGGCGTTTGTACTCTATACTTCTTGAGAATAATGTTTTTAGCATTAGTACTCCTCAGGAATATGGAGCATTTTTCACACTTATAAATGATGAGTCACTATATTCTTACAAACAAAAATTTCTTATACAGTAGAGATTGCTCCCCTCATCTCAAAACATGATAGAGAAAAGAAATTGTCATCAAAACTACAGAAACAGAAGTTACATTTATCGAAGTTAATAGCTTATGTTTCTATATTTAGTTCTGTTTATTGCGTTTACATGCATGAAAGCACACCGAGTTTTTTCAACTTGTTTCAATTTAGTATTTCTTGCATATATATATATATATATATAATATATATGGATCCATTTATTACAAGTAGTGTAAAAGTTTTACATCTTTTTAGGATCTTTTGATGATCAAAAATCAAATGCTGAGATTAATTCTTTGTTTTTTTTTTCCAATGAATTTTTTCTTACCGTTAATTTCAATATTTGATTTTCCTAATCCAACGATCCTAAAAAAGTGTAAAACTAAAAGTTTTACGATAGGTGTAATTGGATATTTCCCCTATATATATAATTTAAAAACACCTGCAGAAATTTTTATGAAGAATCAGTGAAAATAAATAAGAAATTGTGTTTTCAATAAATCATGCATTTGCAGAGACTGGAACTTGTTTTCAGAATTTGAATACATCGATAATAATTGATCTCTCTCACCCACTTTTCATATATTTACATCATTATCTAAAAACAGAAAGTCTGGCGCTTAACCAACGTAATTAAAGTTCATATCAGATCCACGGTAAATATTCAATCAATTTCAAGGCTAGGGATGTCACACATGATAGACAAGTACTTTCCTTTCTCTTTTCTGCATTGTCTCGTAAAAGAGGACAGCCGGAGCCGTCCAAGTGAGACCGGTAGTCCCGACTTTGGTAGAAACTGGAGCTTACGATATCCTTTAATCTGCATTTCTTGGAGAGCTATGAGGTTCTCAAGTTCCCTGGACAGAGATTCCAAGTTGTCGATTCTTTCCAGGGAAAGACTGGTTAATGTCGAAGGAAGCATTACAAACGAAAAAATATCTGCAACAGGGCATGTACCAACAATTTTGATCTCTGTAAGACAATTGAGTTTGTCCGGACCCCACTTTGACATTGGCTGCTTCAGCTTTTCACAATTGTGAAACTCAATTGAAGTTATGTTGGGCAGCAAACCACCCTCCGGGATGGATGTCAGAGCCACGCAGTCTGATAAAGTCGATTCTTGAAGGGAGTTGAGGTTCTACATCAGGTTTGGCAGGGCACTGAGATTCCATTCAATTGGATAGTCTGAGAAGTTTGAGATTGGGCAATGGCAACACACTATCCATTCCATCAGTAAGACACTTCAAACTATTGCAGTTCTCGATTCTCAAGCTCTCGAGTGTCGAGGGCAGCTTGTCTTTGGGAAAGGATTTGAGAAAAGGACATCCTACAATCTCTAACGATTCAAGAAGTTAACAGCGAGTATTGCAGCCATTCATGCCCAGTAACGACTCCAGAGTCTTGCGGTCAAGGATTGAAAGGTGGTTTAGTGTACAAGGCAATCCTGTTGCTGGCATGGACACAAACCTTTCAATCCTGAGATCTTTAAGAGACAAGAGGCAGCATAGTCCTTGCATTTCTCTTCTCCAACCAAGGATACAAGCTTGGGACAATTCTTTACTACCAAACACTTACACCTTCAATCTCTAGAACTTCAAGTTTCATTAGGGTCTTCGAGAGCTCCTCAGTAATGCAGGTAAGGTCTGATATTCCCTTGATTTGCTGATGGTGTTTTGACCAACCATACTTGTAGGGATTACATAATACTGTCCTCCGGGCAGTGTTGTACATCTAGTTTTACCAGGGAACCTTGGCAACCTTGCAGCTAATTTAGGATAGTTTTGCAGTATAAGCTCACAAAGGCGAGGGAAACCTCCCAGGTTGCCAATAGATGATATCCATTCCTTGCATCTTGAATGTCCACCACGTTATGCAACCCAAGCTGACCTTGAAGACACAAATCCTTCAACTCCCTTGACTGGTCAAGTTTCCTGAGTCCTGGTGGCTGCTTGGGAGTATCGTTGATGTTCAAACAACTCAGTCCAAAAATTTCACCAGGAAAAGCAGTAAGCTCCTTTTACTGGTTTAATATTAACATTTGAAAGTGATGAATTGACTGAGGCAACAATCTTATTTCAGTTTTAGACCTTGATCGGAAAAGTGCTCTCCACCCGTGTCTTCTGCTCGCTTGTTTACTTTCGGTTGCACAAAACCCTCTGCTATCCATAAGAGAACTTTTTCATCTCTATCAAATTCATAGCCATTTGGAATCAAACAACAGTCATGGCTTCAAATGAGAAGAGGCCTGACAAAGCTTTCTCTTCTGCACATAATACCAAGTAACATGTATCACAAGAAGTTCAGAACTTACAAACTTTGACTGAAATGAAGAAAAAAAAATTAAGGGTAAAAAATACGAAAGAAAATAATACGAATTTTATTCAAAATGAATAAACACGCATAGTGCGTGTCGAAGACACGTAATTGCACGAGCATAAGTACGAGCCAGATCGGGCGACGACGGCTATGCACATTTATTAACCCATATTGTTTAAATATGTGATTTTTCCAGTGTTTAAATATAACATTTTAAGTTTGCATTTATTGAATGATTGAACAGAAGACTAGTACATACATTTCGTTGTTGTCACCTGACTCTTGCTTGTGCAATTACGTGTCTTTGATACGGATAATTTGCATATATTTTTTTTCATTTCAATCTCAATTTAAAGAGTTCTGATCATTTCACACCATATAAGCGGAAAGCGTTTCCGGCAGAGAGTGCCTTTGAAAAAAAACTTCCTGTCGAAATTGTTTTTCGTTTACGTAACACAAAAAAATGCTAAATAGATAAATGATATGCAAAGAATGTTAAAACAATAATTAATTATTCTTTATATGTAAGTTTAAAAACTGGAATTTGCATGATTCATTTAGATACGATGTATCTTAACAAAGAATATCATTTCTTTTAATCACATGCTATTCTAAGATTATAAAGTAGTTTTGGAAGAAGTATGTATATATGTCTCTTTAGTTTCTTCCCCCACGATGAAAGACATTTAAAAGGCTAACTAAATACACAACTAAGTTATGCTTCTTTAAATCTACAACACGTGGTTCTATCAAACATGCTCATCGGTTCAATCCAAAAGTGTTGAATAGGATTAGGATCCTGAGTATTTTTAATATAAGTTGCAGCATTAGAAAGAGGGGTAAACTATATATTTAGTACATAAACTATCAGTTTTAGTCTTCTTTAATACCTGAACTTTTATTTCTCTTAAAACCATGCCTAATGTTTAGTTTTTGTTTCATTTTAGTATCCAGCCGTTAAAAACTTAATGGACAAGCTCACCAACCGCCACGTTTACACTCGTCGGCCGTCGTATCTGTCGACCGATAAATCCTTAACTTTTCATTCTCTTCTGGTCTACCGTTCGGATTGGTCGTTCTTCAACTGGTGCTATGCCATATCAGCCCATCCGTTAAGTTTTTAACGACGGAATACTAAAATAAAACAAAATCTATAAGTATGATTTAAAAAAATAAAAATTTAGATAGTAAAATGAATAAAAATTGATAATTTAGATACTAAAGGCGTAATTTACCGTAAAAAAGAGAGAGCTTTCGTACAGTCCCTAGAAGTAGCAAGAGCAGGTGAGAGCTATGGATAAATAGGTCAGATGGAAACACTGGGAATCTTTCATTGCTATCCATCCTTTCAAAAGTTCAATCAAACTACATATTTTATAAGAAAACACATATTCACAATGCCAGCCATTGATGCTAACCACACCCAATAGCAAAAGAACTCAAAACTTTTCAACATTCCACAACCACAACAATCCCATTGTCTTGAATCATAAATGTTTTAAATAAAGGAAACACTTTCAACGTGGTATCCAAAGGAAAGAAGAATATAATTAAAAATACAAGGAAGAAAATGAAAAAAAGTGGGATTGTGATTGTTGATTGGAATCTGAGTGGCTGTCCACAATCCAATAATGGTTAAAAGCTTTAACATTCGAAATTCGTCTTCCGTCACCAGCCAGCCATCTCTGGATTACTTTTACATCATAAGGGTAGTTGGCTACATTTTGGAATTTTCCTACATCATTTCTCTATGTACATGTGTAGGGAAAACCCCGGCTTTTGTTTCCTTTTCAACTCACCGGCACCAGCTATCTCGTAAATCGACGGGGTACACGAGGCGTCGGCATCACCGCATCACGACCTGTCTTTATCATTTCCAGGCGCTCTTTTATCGTTTTGTCAAACAATCGGTTCTCGGGATTTTCAGCATAGCAAACGTAGTAACAGCTCACACATGCATGCGGCAATGCCATGGCGATCCTCGTCTGTCAATGCCAATTTTATAATGCATTTGAGTTCAATCATGGAGTTGAGTCATATAACAAACAAACATGCAGATATATATATATATAATCCAGGTTGATCACACAATCACATTTTCTTCATTAAAAAAAATACTCACCATGAGGTATCCAACGAAGAAGGCAAGGAGGGAGATGGTGGCAGTAAAGGGTTCGTGGACCGTAGCAGTCCAAGCAGCCACAACAATAACACAAATTGAGCCACTGCAAACGCCTGTGAGGAAGCAAATCGCGCTGGTCATGTCGGAATCCACGATCGGTACCATTTCTTCCCTCTCGAATAGTGCCCAAGTATCTTGCGATGCCTTAACGAATCCTTTTCCATAGGCAGCTATCTGCAGTAACAGGGGAGAAAGAAGCATAATACACAGTTATCGCATGCTCAAAAATTTATCTTAACAATCCAAGCACATTATGATCAATTATGAAGGGAAATACCTGTACATATGCCCACCCATTTCCATATCTGAAGATGGACTGCATAACATTGAGACAGCAATGAGCACAAGAGAACATAAATTCATCTTCTCCTTCGAGCAAATTCAAGCCTCTGGCAACGATCCTCAAGGCTTCGATTGCCGGCACAAATAAAGAACCGAGACAAGCACTCCCGAGATTCCGGGTCAAGGCTCTCTGGAAGCAGAACTGAGTGTTGGACTGCATTCCTCTTAGATAATATAGAGCAATCACCCTGCTAACTGTCAAATTAACTACATTCCTCATCACTTCAGTTGTCCAAGCCAAGCTTAACACCAATGCAATTATGACCAGTGGTGGGTAGTAGAAATTCAAGGCTCCAACCACAGCCAAGATCCATAGGGACATCCACAAGAACCCAGACCCAAGCATCCAATATGCAGGTTGGTTTAAGTCGGGGAATTTGTCGACCGGTTCCAGTGCTTTGAGCAACACCTTGAAACAAAAACCGACTCGCTGAGAGACCCAACAAGCATACAAGCCATTACCGATGGCAAACGCAATGAAGCAGACTCCAACACCATCGGTGGAAGGCTTTTGGAAGCAGATCAGAAGGATCCCGGCAGATAAAGACATGAAGAAAGTGCACCAGAGGATGAAGTAAACCATGATCCGAGGCCATTCCCGCACAGCCTTTTGCCAAGCAAATGCGAGAGTGATGCTCAAAAGAGATGCTGCTTCAACTTGTGGCAATAAATATTTAAGAACCCTTTCCTCCTTCCGTTTCGCAGGGTTTGATGCATCGATTAGCCCTTGAATTCCCTTGAAGATAAGAAAACCCACTAGAGCAATAGCCGCAACCTTATGCACCAAGTATAATAATAGGCTTATTTTGTTGGTGAATCTTCTTGAATTCAGTGTTGTCACTGATTGCTGGCACAAGGGGAAGAAAATTCAAGTTAATCACTCACATTCTTTCTGCAGAAATTCTTACTACATAAGAGGAATTTTTCAGAACTTCCAAACATAACATAAATCCGATATAAAAAACAGCTGAAAATTCCAAAAAAAAAACAGAAGCTTGATAGAGCTCACTTGTGGAGTCGGTGTAGAACGAGGCTGAGAACGAGGAGGAGGAGGTGTCTGAAAGCGAGAAGACTGGGAAGGGGAAGGAGTAGCCACTCTTGTACCACCATTGATTACAATCCTTAGAGGGTTTGTCGGGTTCAATGTCTGCAACATTGACACATGAAAATGGTCTCTTTCTTCTTCATTCATCCCTAATCTATTTTCTTCAACAAAAGCTCCCACTTTTCCTTTCTCCAAATCCTCTTCCTCTCTCTCCTTCTCTTCCACCACCACTCCTCCTTTTCCATCTTCTTTCTCCTCTTCTCTTCTTTCTTCTTCACTCTCCCTTTCCACCACCACCTGCATCAAAAGAAAACTCCAAACTTCAAAATAAAATTAAGGAAAACTTGGGGGGAGGGGGTTTCAACAGTTTTACATGCTCAGCAGCACCCATGGAGGCTCTGATGACGTCAAATTCAGGAGACGGCGGAGTCGGAGAAGTATCCGGAAACGTGAAATGATTGTGTATGTGGTTGGATTTTTTTTGTTGGTATGATATACAGGTAATGTTTCTCTGGTAGGTTGGTGATGTAGTTTGACTGTTCTTTTTCTTTCTCTGCTGCCGCCTGAACGTTACTTTACTGCCATTACTGCCTTGTTGTTACTGCCACATGCTTCAATTTAGGCGTGCCCACTGTCCCTCTTGGCTCTCGTGTAATAACCGCCAACGCTCTCTTCTTAGAGCGTGGGTAGCACCCGATGACCGTTGTGGTTTTGTAATCCTACATTTTTATAATTATTCTCTGAAACTGAATATTAGAAAGTAACCGATATATATAGGGATACAATCTATTTATATATTTTTTTTAATTTTACGTAAATTTAAGATGATTAAATAAGTAAAAATAGATAGTTAAAATTAATGTTAATAAATAAAAATAAAAAATTAATTTTAATTATATATTTTCATCCGTTCAACAATCATAAATCTATATAAAACTAAAAAAAATTTACGTAATATAAATCTATATATATATATTTGGCAAAAGCAAATTGGTTTGGAGATCGAAAAGCAAGACGAAGGGTATTCATATATTTAGCTAATCATCACACCTTTATAAGGAGAAGGGGGAAAAACAATAGCATTAATAGTAATAGTAACAATGATAAGTGGCAAAAAAGTGGGTGATTTGAAATGAAACGGTATGTTGTCGTTGTTAAGTTCACACGCCGTGCAAGGAACAACCACCTCATACCATAGCTGAATCGGATAAGGGTCAAAGCAGGGATTCAAGGTTGGATAACGGTTTCATTTTTGAAAATTAAAAAAAAAATTTAGCACGAACCAAATTGTTTTAGTGGTTAAATGAATTGTTGTTATTCCTAGAGATTATGAGTTTGAATACCCGCGGCGGCTGCAAGGGTGATTGAGAGTTTATTGTTAAATGATTGAGAGTATTTAGAAGAAATATTGTTTCGTAATCACCTTTAGCTTTATACAAAAATAAATTTTGATATAATTTAAATATTTTACATTTTTCAATAATTTAAATTATATTTTTAAAAAATTATAATTTTTTATTCTTAATTTTTGAACATATGTTTAAAAAATTTATATGTTTACTATAAAATTATGTATATATAATGTATCTATCCTTAAATAAAACGATAACAACTTATTAATTCGTTGTACAATAAAAATGAAGTTAATTACATTATACGTCTTCAAATTATGATCATCTTTTTAAATTAGATCATAAACTTTTAAATATTTTAATTTCATCCTTAAATTATGATTATCATTCTAAATGTGTACTTAAACTTTTGAATATTTTATTTTCATCCACAAACTATATCCTTCATTCTAAATTAGTCCTCAAACTTTTTCAACATTTCAATTTCATCCCAGATTATATGTATATACTAATCGCATTTCATTTTAGTAAAATCGTTAGGCTAACTTATATTATTATATGTTTGAAAAATTTATGTTTAGGTTAAACTATGGTTAAAACTAATTACATATTTAGATGAATTTGGGGATAAAATTGAAAGATTAAAAGTTTAGGGGCTAATTTGGAATGAGGATCATAGTTTGAGGATGAAATTAGAATATTTAAAAGTTTAAAGACTAATTTAAAAATGAATATCATAGTTTGAGGATAAAATTAAAATATCTAAAAAAATAGACACCAATTTAAAATATAAATCGGTAGTTTGAGGATATACGCTGCAAACTCATAAAAATGTAAAAGAAATAAATGTTAATATTTATGCACGATGGTTGGGGGCCATCCATCCATCCATCACGAGGAGGTATGTTAACTCGCATTAAATTTAATATTCTGCAAAAGGAATCATAAAAGTAATTTGAAGGGGCAACTTATTGAATATTGAGCGGTATCAATTATTAAAGGATTTTTTTTTCAGATCTTGGTTTGAGCAATCGTTTAGAGAATATCGGTTGATCAAAAAATATTTTTCAGGATATATATATATTAATAATAAAAATATATTGTATAAGATAAACACTAATAAAATTTTAAGTTGAATATCATTGGTAAAATTAACAAATATAAAAAAAATAGATTTCAGGTGGGCACGTATCCACTTTAAATCGTACATATATCCGCCATTGCTATAGAATATATGTTGTTGATGTCTAAAAAAATTATGAATAAATATTATATAATCACTAAAATTATTTAAAAAATAATAATTTGAAGGGAAAAATTTGTTAAGGGAAAGAGACGGCTCCAATATAAAAACGTGAAGAATGAATACAAACTTTGTTTTAAGTTTTATGTTGGTTAGTATTTAAATTATGAAATTAATGAAATATTTCAAGTACATGGAGATGGAAGCATTCAAATTGGGAAGGTCCATGGCGTGCTCCAAACAGTCTGACATCGTTGGAGTTCGAGTCACAATTTTATAAGTTATAAAATAGATAAAACTAAAACTTTTAATAATTTCATTCTGTTTTCTTGTTCACGTAGATTCTTTTCCTAAATAATTTCATTATATACGCTTATTATTTTTTAAAATGTTTTTAAACTTTTTATAAAAGAACAAAATAGTTAACATTATTTTTTTATGAAACAATAGGTTTAATATAAAAATAAGTGTTCAAACTATATCATTTTGTATTTAGTTGTCTAAATTATTTTTATGTTAATTCAAGTATCTAACATTTCAAACGTTATCATTTTAAGTGTTTCAACCGTAACAGTCGTTAAAATTTATGTTAAGTGACACGTGTCATGTTTATAACAATTTTAAAAATATATTTAAAATAAAAAAAAACTCTAAAATATATAATTTTTAAAAATCCCAAAAAAAATTAAAATCATAATAAAATCTCAAAACTTTAAAATTATAATCTCTATATCCACGTCGGCCACCTCCGTTTATCGTTGTTTCTGTCAATGGGAGAGGGTTGGGGAGGTTGAGAGGTCGGGAGAGAGGGGAGGGACGGTGGGATGGAGGGGGTTGAGGGGACGGCAGGAGGGGGAGGGAGGAAGGTTGGGGGTACTGGGGGAAGGAGCGACAGGAGGGGACTGAAGAATTCTTAATAGTTTTTAAATAAAACAATTTGTTTTTAATTTTTTCAAATAAAATCTTTAAAATTATCAAAATACGACATGTGTCACTTAATGAAACTTTTTAACGGTCATTATGGTCGAGGTACTTAAAATGATACAATTTGTAACATTAAACACTTTGATTGACTGAAAAATAATTTAAGCACCTAAATGAGAAAAATAATATAGTTTAAACACTTATTTTTATATTAAGCCAAAATGATATCATTATTATTTTTCATCAATTAATTTATTTGACAAAAATAATAAAAATTTAAATGTTGAGAAGACAAAAAAAAAATTAAAGATTAGATTTAAAAATTTTTGAAGAATAAAACATCATCAGGCCTAAAAAATAAATATATAAATAAAATATATTTATTTCAAATTATTAATTATCTACACAAATTAAAAAGGGTAAACTACATAATAGTCACCGGATATTAAAGTTTTTATCTTTTATCCACTTGACTATCAAAACTCATGAAACGATCATTCGATTTATCTTCTTTTTTTTCTTCATTTTCTCTGTTGTCATTCTTTAAATTAGTAAAATATTATACCTAGTCCTCAAAATTTACACTACGTCGGTTTGGTACAAATTTTAAATTTTTGAACCTCAATATCTACGCATTACGTTAGTTTCATCTAAATTTCGAAAGATCATAGATATAATGTTTGAAACACAGTTCCAAAAAAAACTCATATTTTTTTGTCTTGAGTCGGATCTAGATAGTTTATTGGTTGTTACCAGATTACTTGAATTGAATTTATGCAGCAACGAAACTAGGAAGTAATTAGGAAGCCAATTTTTGCAGTGAAACTTGATCATACAAATACTTCAATTAATTGGCCTATAAGAATAAAGAAAAATCAAATACGTTCAGTGATCAATAATAAAAAAAATATTATTTTTTTTTAAAGATTTTAGATTCAAACAACTTATATATAAGCGTGTACGTATTCCTCAATAAAAAAACGTGTTTAACTGCCTATTTTCTTATAATAAAATTATTATAATAATTATATTATAAAAAATTCTTACATTTATATAAATCTGAACCATGGTAAGATTTAATAGGTATAAAATTTATTGGGAAAAAAATAACAATTTTATGTCTATATGGATTTGAACCAAGATTTTTTTTGTCTTTCAATCCAATTTTCTCCCTTCACAATGTTAAGATTTAAACCTTCGACTTTAATTAAAGAACCTAAAACCTTATCTTACTAGACCAACTAGCAATTCATAATATTTTATCTTTTTCTCTCTTGCGTTGTTTATCTCTAATTTCTTTTGTATATTTTTCACTGTCGATACCAACACAAGCCTTAGATTGGTCACCAACCGCTAGAGTTTTTTTTTCTTTTTTTTTCTTCTCTCTTTCCGCCACTCCCCCATAATCTAACTATGTTAATTTTTTGTTTAATTAATCTTCATATGAAAATAGTGAATAACTTTGTCTACTTCTATAGCATGTTCTTCGTATGTTCTTAAAGAAAGTTTTATTTTCTGGTGGTTGGATTTAATATCGTATCTTTAGATCTAGATGAAACTTATTTATTTATTATGTTGACCTATCATTACTTTTTACACTTTGGTTGGACATTGATAGAGGTTTAGAATCACCAAATATAGGCTGCGATTGAGTAGTGATAACGTCAATTTGTTAACAAGTAATCATTATTGTATGATTTTTTATATTAGTGTTGATGATATTTATCTTTTACGGCTGACAAATTATGCTTATTAGTATCTATAATTTGTTTAAGTTGTTTGGTTAGATTTCTAACTCTTTCCTTCTATGTTTCTTATTATTTTTATTTTTAAGTGATTAATTTGCATGAATTATGCGACCTTAGTTGTTAAACAGATATTTGTTATCCTTAGAGGTTTCATGTTCGAGTATGTCGTCTGTAAGGGTATTTGAGTGTTCATTGTCAAATGATTAATAATATTTATAACAAATATTACATTATAATCATCTTAAACTAATTAATAAAAAAATAACTAATTTATGCACTCAGATGATTTTTAAAAAATATATGACTTAAGTGATCAATATACTTTTATTTTTATAGACTCTTAACGTAATTTTAGAATATTTTTATTTTATTTAATAAAGACGATGATTATTATTAGTTCATTTTTTTCTAACTTTTTTTAATTTTCCAAACATTTTTAGTGAGAACAATGAAAACAAATTTTCTATTATTTTTATATGTTACATATATTTTCATTTATATTTTTTAAAATTAACTTTTATTTTTTAAAACAGCCAGTCTAATATTATATTTTCCTTTATTTTCTCTCTTCTCTTTACCTTTTCCTAATGTCTCTTTCACCATTTCTTCTCTCTTCCCCCCCTGTCCCTTTCCTTCTTGTCTCACACATTCTCTCCTTTTAGTAGTATTTTTCTTTATAACTTTTTAATATGTTTTTTTAAAAAAATTTTGAAATATTAAGAAATAGTATTTGTTCATTATATTTTTAATAATTAATAACATAGATTATACCTATTTGAATTCAAGATCTAAGAGAAAACAACATTCCCTTTGATTTTTGAATTTATTCAATGAGTTCAATTTTTTTAACAATAACAACTGAATTTTATTAAAAAAACGAATGAATGAATTAAAATTACAACTCACCCAAACTTAGAGAAAAAAATCACCAAAAAACTCATACATAAAATATAAAAATATTAAACACAAAGATACAAAAAAAAGAAACTTTCTATTAAAAATAACATTCAATATTAAAAAAACTTAATAACTTTTATAAAACTCATTATCTCCATCCAATGGAACGCTTTAAGGTTTCAACTTTTCTATAGAAGTTAATGTTATATGTTATAAATATAGATTATGGAGGTAAGAAAAGTTTGTCACGTGAGAGAAAATTGGTGCGTGCATCAAGTGATGTTGGATTTAGGGGATGTTGACAAGAGTGAATTAGGTCAAGATTGGATGACTTGGATCCACCTCAATTTGTCTTACGTGTCATCTCAATTATTACTATCTGTTCAGGGAAAAAGATAGAAAGGAGCTGAGGGCATCCTAATGGGGCCACAGGAAAGGGTACCCTGTGGCTGCTATTCCAGATCAAATAGGACAATATGGTCTATAGAAAACCTCAACTTTGCTTCTAATTTTTTATTGCCAAATATAAGCCTCCTATAAATTTACCTAAATATTCTTTAAAATAAAGACATTAAAAATATAAAAAAACATAAATTTATATCATAATCGAATTCATAATTATTTTAATGACATAATATGTTTACTTAGCACTAAAAATATACAGGTAAATTATACAAGTTGAACCTTATGTTTTGTATCCATTAACAAAAGTTTAAGTTAATAATTAAAAATATAGTATAAAAAAATTCACAATCTTCTTATTATTCTTCTTTATACGAGTGATCCCTTATGTTTTTATCCATTAACATAAGTCTTAGTTGGTAATTAAAATATAATATAAAAAAAATCACATTCTCCTTCTTCTTCGTCTTGATACGACTTATTGGGAGAGTGTTGCTCGAATGATTGCCGATGTATAGAAATCTAACAAGATTGTGGTCGAGAAATCGACTGTTGCTGTTAAAACAGCTGAGGAAGAGGATGCATTGCCTGCGACCCCCTCCTTATGTGATTTTACTGGCTTCTCTTTAAGTTCTTTGCATACCTTATCCAAAATTATCATGTACGATCACAAAAATATTGGTGTAATCCCTCATCCTTGTTATTGGCACTATGGAAATAACTGCATGTGTTCTTCACTAACTCCTTATCTGATTCAACGCCATTGCATGGTCAGGCTTAGCTGCAACTTTATCCCTGAAAAATGGCTTCAGTTTGACTTTAGAAGCATTGGCTTTATTCCCTAATCCTTCGCAGATGTAGCATTTGGTGTATGTTGTGGTCCATTTGGAACTTGGAGGCATTGATGGAGGTGGGTGGAAGAGGACCAACTCCAAGAGGTTTAGGTGACGGTGCAGGAGGATTAGCCTTGATCGGTGAAGAAGGTATACCTTATGGAAGAAGCAACAATCAATGAAGATAAACTTAGCCCATAGATTTGTTGCATAGTAGTTATTTATCTCTGGTCCAAAAACGACACGAATGTTTCACACTAGATTTGACTAGGAGTGTTTATGTCCGAGAACCCGTATTTTTTGGTACTCAAAATGTTAGTATCCGAGATTTTCAGGTACTAAAAACTTAGCCCATGTCTCGGCCTGTAAGAGTCGGGTACCTGCAAGTCTGGTAGTTGTACAATCTGGTTACCCACTAATTCGAGTAATATAAGTATCCGGTTTAAATTTAATAAAATTACTAGACAAATTCAAATTATGTTAAATAGAAATGCAGGGACTAAATCCATAAATTTAAGCATAGTACACACTGAAATCAGAATTGGACCAATAATTAATGAATGCTGTTTGAATTTCAAATCAACTGCAAACCGAGTAACTGTTCCTCTTGGTGCCCGAAATACACAATTGTTCTTCTGCAAATCGATTAGTTAAATTTGTAATGGAAAAGCTAAGCAACCGCTCTTTAGATTCCTGAAATGCGCAAACAGGGGTCCATTTGTTATCTTTGAAGTCATTATTCTTGGTGCCTCAAATATACAATTGTTCTTCTGCATTTTTTCTTCTTTCGAACGGCTTTTCAGGTAATTACAATTGGGGCTTGAGTGTTTTGTTGAAATAAAATAAAAAGGATCCGGATAATCGGATAGTCGGGCACCTGATTAAGTGAAATTTTATGATCTGGACTCGACCCATAAACACGTCAAAAATAATGGGTTGGGTACCCGACCAGTAAATTTGGGTATTTTCCTTTAATATACCTGATAATTTTCAACCTGGTCAACGACCTCTTATATTACGGGCTCATAAATTTTAATATGATAAATTTTTAAATTTTTAAATAACAGACATCTCTCATCCTCTTGATTTCGGTTATGGATGGATGGATAAGATAGCCCAAAACAAACAGCACTGAAAAGGAAGCTCTAACTTACAGACACAGCACGAACTCGAAACAATGGCTACTTGCACCACACCTTCATCCTCGCTCATGGTAACGCACGCCGCCTCCACCGTACATCCCCAAGACCTCACCCTTTCGGTTCTATCCTTCAAGTCCAACAAGCCCTCCTTTTCTCTCAAGACTTCTTCCATAGACAGAAAACCCGGCATAGGATGGGCTAATCTGTGTGCCCGGAGAGGCTCCAATCATTTCGTTGTGGCTGCCGTGGCTACGGAGGCCGAGGTGACTGAGGCTGCGGAGGAAGAGGACGGAGCGGCTGACGGTGGCTCTGCTACCGCTACTATTACTGCCCCATTGAAACCCAAGAAAGGAAAGGCGGCGTTGCCTCTTAAGAGAGACAGAGTATGTGGATGTTAAAGTTTTAACTGTTCTGGTTTTGTTTATTTTGTTTTTGTTTTATGTTGGTTCATTTCATGTCTGGATTTTTTTGCTTAGCTTAGAGAAAGCAGTGTTTGTTGTGTTGAATGAAAGTTTTGGCTTTTGAGGGTTAGGTTTAACCTACGTTGGAAAAATTAGTAAAAAAAAAAAAAAAATTAACAATTTTGGATCGGTTAAATGATTATGGTGTATTGTTTACTTAGGTTCAGTAATTTAATTCAATTCCCTTTTCCTGCACAAACTGCAGACGAGATCCAAGAGATTCTTGGAAATTCAAAAATTAAGGGAAAACAAAAGGGAACATGATCTAAAGACATCAATATCTTTGCTAAAGGAAATGTCAAGTACAAAGTTTGTAGAGACAGCTGAAGCCCATTTCCGCCTTAACATTGATCCCAAGTACAATGATCAACAGCTGCGAGCAACCGTAAGTTTCCCGTGCTTTGCATGATGATCTCATCGACTCATGGTAGCCATGATCTCATTACTCTAATATCATACTTTGCTTTTGAACCTTCTTCATCTTACAGGTGAATTTGCCTAAGGGAACAGGACAAAAGGTTAAGGTTGCCGTTCTTACTCAAGGTAGTTGCTTCCCTTTGATGCATGCTAATCTTCTTATCGTAACTTGTTTTTGTTTTCATCTGTATTGGAACTTGTTTTTATTTCTAGATATTCTTGCATATAATTTAGAGGATAAAGGTGTTGGGTTATTTTGGACCAAATTGAACAAAACCGAAATCTGAACTAAAACTTGAGGCGTATAGGACACTTTCCTGATGGATACTTTATTGTAGAATGTATGTATCTTAGGATTTAACCAGCTCATCTATTTGAAGAACAGGGGTGGGAACAACAAAGAACTCTAAGAAAAATACGCAGTAGAATGGAAGAGCTAATGAGAGGAGATATGCGTATTTTGGTGTATAAAACAATGTTATCAAGCTTGGTATCTATGGGCTTGTAGTCAAAACTTGGCTAGAAAAATAAGAGATAATGAGTGGAGATATACATTTTTAGTGTAGGCTTGGTATTTATAGGCTTGGGAGCGAATGTTGTTGTTAGGCTTTGTTTTTATAGGTTTGTGAGCAAAGATTGGGCTAGAAAAATAAGAGAGAATGAGAACAGTCGTGCGCTTTTTGGTGTATAGAACAATGTTGCCAGACTTGTTATTTATAGGCTTGTGAGCGTAGGTTGGTAGAGTAAAATGAGATAAGCCAAAGGCTGAAAAAGTTGGGCTGGAAAAATAAGATAATGAAAGGAGATATGCGTTTTTGGTGTGTAAAACAATGTTGTCAAGCTTGGTATGTATGGGCGGTTAGGCGTGTGAGCAAAGGTTGGTTGAGAAAAATTAGGTAAGTCAAAGGCTAACAATAGGTAGACTTGAGAAATAAAAAAGATCAAGCTCTGTGATGTGCACTTAGGGGTGTGCTTGGTAATCTTACATTGAGGAATTATATTCCTTTGTTTGGTTAGAGAAGATTACATTGAGGAAATATAACCACATAACTAAAATGTGTTTTTAGTTAATCTTAACACTCCACCAAATAATAAAATCTTACATTTCTGCTAAATGAGCCAAACATGGTAATTTAACATTCCTAATAACGTGTCAAGTAATCTTACATTATGTGAACCAAACATTTCCTTAGTGAACTTTGTCTCATCTAGATTTGAAATCCAGTTAGCATCATTTTATCAGCTTCATATTATCCACAAAATAGAGTACCATAATTCATAATACCTTTCAAAAATCTTATTGATACAACTGTAACAGTGTAATGCTCATGATTTGTGTTGTGTGTATAATTGTTCAATTTACATACACCATATGTCATGTGTCTTGTGGAAAAAAAAACTAAATGCATCAGACTTACAATAATCTATGCATTCTCAGATTGAGCTACAATATCACATCTATTTTTATTCGAGTGTTAATATCATAAGGAGTATTCATAGGTTTTGACATCAAACAATAAAATCTTACATTTCAACATCCAATATAACACTTCTCCCATATTTTTCACGTCAATTTGAGAAGAGAACTTTTTGTTTCAAGTACAATCTCATAATTGTACTAAAAATAGTTATATCAAATTCATACAAGCAAACTTTTCAACTGAGAAACCTATATGCAATATCATGTACAACATAACCAATGAAGATGTAATTAGGGGAATTTTGAACTCATATTTTCTTCCGTTAGGATTATAAAGCATAAATAGTTAAACACCCTTTCCACTAATATTGTAAGTAAGAAGATGATCTTTCCTTATATCCGTAGGGTGTCTTACTAGTTTATAAGAAATTCAATTTTCATGCAAGTAAAATAGTTCACTCATACTCACTAGTAATAGGTTTTGATCTTTGGATATTTTCAAAATCCAGATTTTAATCGTCACAGAACAACAGTTCTTGTGCGTACAAGCTCATCCTTTTCAACTGATTCTTTAAGTGTTTTGATTTGCTTACAATTGGGTATGTGTTTTTTGTTTTTTTGAAATATTCCAACAAAGAAACATAACTGAATGATGTTCAGTTCATGTAACAGATCGAGTTGGTTCTGAACTCTAAATATAGAATTATGTTAACTGCAGGTCATTATTCTAAACTAATGTACTTTAGGTGAGTGAGAGTAGTTAAAGATATCAAATGGAATAATATTTGGATAAAGCTTTTTTCCTGAGGCTTATCAACACACATCAATTGCTTTTATGTAATATCTTTGCAGGTGAAAAGTTCGATGAAGCAAAAAATGCTGGAGCAGATATTGTCGGTGGTGAGGACTTGATTGAACAAATAAAAGGAGGATTCATGGACTTTGACAAACTGATTGCTTCACCAGATATGATGGTTAAGGTGCTGCTTTTCTGCTCTTATTTCAATTAATGAGATATCATGGATTTGGCTTTGTTTGATGGTTATGACAATAATTTATCACTAGGGGTTTTATTTTAACGTCTTCCTACTTCTAAATTAGGTTGCAAGTCTTGGAAAGATTCTAGGACCACGTGGGCTGATGCCAAATCCGAAAGCTGGTACCGTTACACCAAATATACCTCAGGTATGATCTGATTGTTATGTTTGGATGATTTCTCATTTCTCATTTTAGTTTTAATGAATTCGCAACTGAATGATGCATGGTAGCTACTGATGGTGATTTGGATATAATGTATAGTGAATCGTTTTCTTTTTCAGGCTATCGAAGAATTCAAAAAGGGTAAAGTTGAATACAGGGCTGATAAAACTGGGATCGTTCACATACCTTTTGGCAAAGTAGACTTCTCTGAAGAAGACCTCCTTATCAACTTTCTTGCAGCAGTAGTATGTCAAACCCCATTCCTTTACGCTTCTCTTGCCTTCTTGCTCTCCGTTTCTTTCTTTTGAACGCAATTTGTTTCTAAACCAGAATTGAACTCTGATATTTATTTGGTTTTGTTAATTTGACAGAAATCGATTGAAACAAACAAACCAAAAGGTGCCAAAGGAGTATACTGGAAAAGTGCGCATATATGCACTTCGATGGGTCCTTCGATCAAGTTAAATATAAGGGAGATGCTTGATTACAAGCCTCCATCGAACATTTGAAGAATGGCGACTACTAACAGTTGATAATGTCTTTGACCCTTCAATCAGCTATGTGGGCATTCTATGCAGAACATGCAGTGCTCAATGGAATTGGCCGGGGGTGTTAGATAAAGATCGAATGTTTGAACCCTAGTGAAATTGTGTATGTGCATTAATGGATTAGCATTCTGTATACAGACTGGGACTTGTATCATCATATGACTAATAGCATCAATTTTATTTATTGCTATTTTCTCTCTCAGTCGAAGGTGTTTTGAGTAGAATCCTGGGTTTATTATCAGGGGTGATAAATAAGCAAAATTTACTTAGAAAACATGTGCATCTGAACTTGTAGGCTAATTACAGTAAAATTTACTGATAAAATATTCTCTCATTTTCTTCTCTGGGAATACTTTGTGTGTGATTACATGAGAAAGGGATTCTGGTTAAATAGATCTATCACAAGACTTTGGTCATCTTATGTGTACGGTGAAGGGTCCACAATTCAATGAGATGAAATAATGTTTGAGAAAGGATGAAGACAACAGTGTTGAACTGATAAATTCTACTTAGACAAAACAATAATCGTTGTTGAAAGCCACTAACGAAGTCAAGGTGTTTGTTGAATGCTTGTACGGATGGATGAAGTAATAGATGGTGAAAATATTAGTGATCGTGTGGAGGACATGGATGAAAATATCTGCAACTACCATTAATATCTCTAAAGTCTCATGTTCATCACCTTTGTCAAAACCCATCTTTGAGCTTGTACCAACAGGTTTCTCTGAAAATCATAGAGCTTTATCTCAGCTTCATAGACAAGGTGGTGCTGGTATAATAAAGATGGGTGACGATAGTTTTCAATTAATTACCATTGTTTTGGTTGATGGGTGTAAGTTTGGGTGGTGCTGGTATAATAATGATGGGTGACGATAGTTTTCAATTAATTACCATTGTTTTGGTTGATGGATGTAAGTTTGGGTGGTGCACAGGGAAAACACAACTGTCTTTTTTCTTTCAAGTACTGATGCTGGTGGAAAGCTTGAACGAGCTTATTTGACAATGTTTACTAAAGCCAATGAGTTTGTTGAAGGTGATGGAGCCATACGGGTTTAGACTACTGGTAATGAGAAAATGGACGACTCAAATTGCTAAGAGTTTGGGCGGCAATGATGCCACATTAAGCCTTGGAAACACTGATCTAAGAGTGTTGAGATTCAATGAAGTATTTAAACTAGCCATTGTTTGGAACTTTCAGCAAGTTTGGGACATATACGAGGATTTGAAGATCATATTATGGAGAGAACTTCGAGCACTCAAGGAGCTTCTTGGTCCAAGAACAAGAATTATCAAATATATCGGTGATGCCAAAGATTAAATGCACGCACTCATTATGGCGTTCTTGATTAGGATCTGTTTTCCATCAGACGGGGAACCTATATTGCAGGTTTTGACTGGAAGCAAAGTTGCTAACAATATGATTTTAGCATTTACTAATGTGGTTTTGGATTTTTTTGGTTTCCTTGCATTGAAGATAAACTTGCATGTCGTGGTAGGTTACACATTCTGGTTTCTTCTGTTAAAATTTTGTATATCGAGGAGATTCATTGATGATAGGAGATGGTAGCAAATTGTTGAACGTTGCTCGCGGGTTGGGTTGATCGTCGTTGTTTCAGATGTGCTCTAAGTATATTGATAAAAGTTGAGAGGAAGGGAACTTACCGAGCATCTGATGTCACATTGTCATGTTCTTCACACAGGTTTGTGCACTTTCATGGGGCAAGGCACCAAAATTGGGAATGAAATAAAAATCTCTAATTCTGTTGTTAGAGAAAGGTGCATATTGAATCAAATGTCACAGTAGAAGGCTCTTATATATGGAATGACGGTACACCATGAATATTATTCAAACTTGTCTCTGTTACGTACTAAATGCAACCTGGGTTTGTCTTGACCCAAAATAAAGGCAACTTTGTTCGACCGTTGCCTCGACTCTATTTATATATAAATAAATAATTTGCATTACACTTCAAAGAAGATATTACATCGGTTGCAATGTCTCGCATGGCTAGAATATAATATACAGCAAACAATCCTGAAAACAATGATCAATGGCAGCGTATATGCAATGTCACACAATGAAGTTTGTACCAATCAATCTGAGCTGATTCTGTAGTTTCTGGTTCATTGCTGCTGCACGCATCTTTGTTCTTATAAGATAATTGATATTTCAACCATGTGGCTCCCCATTGATTTGTAGCCTTCTAGCCCATCCACAACTTCAACACCCTATCCTTACCCCCAGAGGCAACTTTCTCACCATCTGGACTCCAATCAACGGCAAAAACCTGTCCGAATGAAGATGAAGATCAGTCACCAGTACATCAGCAAACCAGTATTGATGATTCTTTGGCTTTGCTATTGCTAGTAGCATCGAGAGCTTACCTCATCTGCATGGCCTGGAAGGTCTTGCTTCAACTTTTTTGTTCGAATATCCCAAACCTTGTAACAAGAATAGCAAGCTTGTTAAAAAACATTAGCATTCAACTAAAGAATCAGGACTTTTAGGGGAGTACCAAAGATTAGGGTTGGCAGCACTCGCCGGGGGGAATCTAAGGGAGAGTAAAGCAAGAAGGACAGATATGTAGCAGAGGCTGAACAAGAGAACGATAATGGTACTAACAATGAGGCCATGGCATAAGAATAACATTTAACTCAACTGAGTCAGAAAGTAGAAATAAAATCTAACTTCAATTTGGTTCATTTCTACACCACATCGAAAGTAGAGCATGTGAGTATGTTTATAAAAGAATGCCCAATGATTAATCTCAACAATTTCTCAGAATCTTCGAATACCAAAAAAGGGGGAAGAAGATAAAAAGTTCCTATTGACTTACCTTCAAGGTGGAGTCTTTGCTTCCACTTAAAAGAAGCCTACTATCTGCAGACCAACTGAAGGGCAAAATGCAAGATGATTATTAATCCTAAGAAATAACAGAAAAGAGACATGGAAATAAACTACAGAAACAGCTCAAACCTTATTTGATATACAGGCCCAACATGACCTCGGAATGCAGCAACAAATTCTCCGGTAGCTCCATTCCATAGCTTGACTGACTTATCAAACGATGCACTAGCCACCCATTGCCCATCAGGTGAGAAATAAACATGGTTTACAAGCTGCAAACAACCAACAAAACATGCAACAAACTTAATTTTAAGAATGAGGAAATCATACAGAGTTGCAGCAGTATACGTTGTACCTGTTGATGACCAGTCATGCGAACTTTGTGGTGTTTGCTTACAGCTGGTTCCCATAGGAACATGGTAAATCATCAGATCCCGATACCAATCTCTCAGGGGCATTGCCTTTCATTTTGTTGTACCTTTCTAGGGCAACCTAAATTATATAAGTAAATTTAATTACTTTTCTACAGAAGAGAGGGAGAGTAGGAAGCTTAAATATATCCATAGAAGAAATAATACTTGTTGTAAAGAGAGAGCAGCAGCAGCAGACTTAAAATGATGTGTTTGATTGATAGAAGAAATTATAACACTACCTTCTTCATTTCTTCTGGAGACGAATATTGTTTACCGTTATGATCAAAAGCTCCAGTGCGAAGAACATATTCTGTGCTCAGTGCAAGTGAGTTAACCCAATGCCCATGACCCTAAAACAAGTAGCACAAACAAATGAATGTCTATATTATAAAAATTCAGAGCATATACACTAAAAATGGATGCATAAACATGCAAAAGGGAAGTTTAATGTGTACACATGATGACAAAGAGATGTTCTAGAAAATGCAAGAAATCACCTTCAATTCACGAATCAGCTTCCCTTGTGAAGTTTCCCATACTTTGATAGTACAATCCTGGGATCTTCAGCCAGTTCGACAAAAGGAGATGATTAGTACTAAGCAGTTAGTTTAAAAACAGGCTGTTAATAGAAGATATGATGAGTACAAAGTGATTATTTCTATGTCATTTCTAAGGAAAACAGAGCTTCCACTTCCATGGAACAAAGTGATGATATGCCAATAAAAAATCTAATCACAATCAGAGAAACAAAACAAAATTGTACCCTGTATATATGACTCCATCTCCACCCCATTTCACACAAGTTACAGCAAGTGTGTGGCCACTGAGGCAAATAACACATTTCTTTAAGGAAATATCCCATATGCGGGCATCACCATCTTTGCTAGCACTTACAAAGCGACGGCATGGAGCATTTAGATGGACAGGTTCCCAAGAGATACCGGTGATCCATTTCTTGTGGCCCTATAACAGAATCCACGTATATGAAGAAGGCAATTGACTAAACAGAAAGTATACCATTGTTTTTTACCAATTGATGAGACAGTTTCAGTTTAAAGAGGTCAAGAAACTATGCTGAATTATTAAAAATAATTATTTAAGAATAAAGGCTTTACAGTCAGCCGGTTGCCGGTAGGCTTTCCTGTTTGCGGGTCCCAACATAGTAGTTCTCCAGACTTGCTTCCACTGACAAGATGTTTACCATCAGGTGACCATGCGATACAAAGAACCCAATTTTTGTGTCCTGTAAAAAAATCAGAAGACAAATGATTAACATAGAAAAAAGAAAAGCAATGGGTGCAAAGAATTACAATAACATGAATTAAATGTTACATGGCATCTCTTTTTTTCGCTCCATTTGTATGCTTAAATACTTGTATGTTGCTCAAACAGTTTTTCAGTCAAACTGATCAAGAAAACAGCAAGTGCAAGTATACAAATTTTCAAACCTGTGCACGTAAACATTGGAGTCTGAGTATTTAGGTCCCATAGTCGAACAGTGGTATCCCCTGAGCCACTTGCCAACTGTCGTCCATCAGGACTAAAGGCAACAGAAAGTACTGCTTCAGTATGACCTATTGTGACAAAACAACAACAAAGATTTAGGATAAACAATCCAATTGTGCTAAAGGGATGCCAGTAAACATTTTACACCTAATTGATCCATATAAAGAAAAAATATGAATATGTTAATATAAGTTTTATTACAATAAAATTAGTTGAGCGTGAACCTGAAAAAAATTAATTCCTTTAAAAAGTCTAATAATATCATCATATCAAGAGACCATGCAAGATGCAACAGGCAATTTGTTTCTTTCATGAAGAATAGCCAATGAAGTAATGATTTCAACATTAATGCAGTTAAGTTTTTGATAACAAAAATAAATCAATCCCATACCAGCAATTGTAGCTGAACACCGATTAATTGGACGAATCCTGAAAACTGCCTGAGGTTGATAAACTATGGATAGTGTTTTCTCCATGGAAACTGAAAATTTGTTGATCCAAATTAATCAGCCAATAATAGGTATAGCATATTGAGAAATGTAAAAGAGTCAAGTAATAAAAGTCGAACTGTCACATAATTCACTATCATCAGTTCCCCAACTGACCTTTATTTTTCTCCAAGTAATTTCCAAGTGGCACAAGAAGCTCTTGATTAGATATATAAAATGCATATGGTAGTTTCTCCTCCTGAAGGAACCCATATAGCAAAGTTTCTCAATTCTCACTTTTATCAGTTCTAAAAGCATTTTATTATCATGAAATACTAAATCACATTTGGAAGTAAAATGATCATAAAGGTTTTCAACAATTCAACCAAAAATAAGCAAGCAACTTGCACAAAACTCCAAATAAAAATTCATCTAAACCAAACGAAAAACAAAATGAAAAGTAACAAGTTGGAACAAGTAAGAAGAAAATATAATGCAATGAAACAGAAGTAGAAAAATAAAATGTTACATTTTTTAGAAGCGTATTGACGATCTGTTGAAGTTGAAGAGGACCGACGTTCTGGGGAAGGTACATGGTGCCTCCCAGAGTGGTCCCTTCCTGGTCTGTTAATAGGCACATCACGCTTTTCCCCGTCTCTGCTTCTTCTCTTTCAACCTCCATTTTCTCTTTGTGATAAAATTGGAGACTTCGGAAGTGGGTTATTTGGCTTTAATAGGTTTAGGGTTTTTGGTTGCTGCCGAATCGAAAATGGAGATTGGAAAATTTTAAGGGTTTAGGGTTGTTCGGTCGGGGGGTTAAAGGGCAGTGTTGGGCTGTGGAGAGATCCACTGGAAATGGCTGCGGCTGACCTATGTGGCCACGTTATCAGCCCCAGATTAAGCTCTACAAAAGATGCTTTTTTCATCGTTGAATTCGTAATTTAATTTACTAGGCTAAACTACACGTTTAGTATCTAACTATTACTTTTATGCCGTTTTAGTCATTCAATTATTTTTTGTTTCAAAATCATACCTAACATTATATTTTGGTTTCATTTTGGTCGTCCACTGTTGAAAATTTAACGGTTATTTTGATGTGTTATCATAAGGCAATGCCGTGTTATCATTGCTTTTTTTTTAAATATCACGTCAACAGTTCTCTTAATTTTTTTAACGGTGGGTGATCAAAATGTAATGTTAGGTATAATTTTGAAAAAAATAACTACGTGACTAAAACGGAACAAAAATTATAGTTGAAGTACTAAACTTGTACTTTACCTAATTTATTATCATCACATCATTTCTAATGGACCATCTGCGATGTGATATATTGTTGTTTATATGAAGCCCAAAATAAGGTAGTCATTGGATTAGGAAAATTACATGATGTTTTTAGTATTTTAAAATTAAAATTAAAATTTTAATTTTATTATATTTAGTTGGTAAAATAATTTTCTAATTCTCTATATTTTTACTTTTTATCAATTTGGTCTTTAAAATATAGCTTAATACCCAAATAAGTGTCAAAACTATATCGTTTTTACCCAAATTGGTGCCTACAGTATTTTTTGACCCATCAAGGTACTTAACGTTACAAACGTGACCATTTTATGTGCTTGAGACGTAACGACTGTTAGCTTTCTTCGTTAAGTGGAATGTGTCACAATATGGTAATTTTGAAATTTATTTTTTAAAAATATATTATTATATTTATAAAAAATACCTAATTTCTTTTAAATTACAAAAAAAGCCTCAAAATCCCTAAATCCTAACACTAACCCCCCACCGATGCCCTTTCCGGCCACGACAACTACCGCTGACGTAGTCCCTGCCATAATCATAGTTATACGCCGCCATAGTTGTTGTCGATTGGCCGTTGAAATCTCGTGGGATCATCCAAGGGTTCATGGGGTATAAAACTTCGATCGATCATGATTTCATAGGAGTTTTGGTTGTCGGGGGGAGGTAAGGTCGGGTAGAGTTTCGTTGACGGCAAAGGGATGCGATCGACGTGGGTTTAGGGGTTGAAATGAAGGTTTTCAAAGTTTTGGGCTTATTTCAAAATTTATGTATTTTCTTTCTTAAAATATATTTTATTTTAAAAATTTTATATAAATTTTTAAAATTATCAAATTGTGACACGTGTCACTTAACAGAAGAAATTAACGTCATTGACGGCCAAGCACCTAAAGTGGTAACGTTTGTAACGTTAGGCACCTGGATGGACAAAAAAAATATTGTAGGCACCTATTCAGGAAAAAGACTATAGTTTGGGCACTTGTTTGAGTATTAAGCCTTGAAATATTATAAATATGTATGATTATAAAATTATATTATTTAATTAATAGTACTTTTTTTTAAAAGATTAAGAGTCAAATCGATAAAACTATTAATATGATAACAGTCAGTTCAGCAGTAAAATAATAAAAATACAAATAAATTAGGATAAATACCAAGATTTTTAGACAAAAATAGCAAAATACTTAAATTACACAATTAAATAAAGATTACATTTTAAATTTTCAAATGGTGTAGGGACTCATGGTATACTTAAACCAATGTTATTTTTATCTATTCTTAAAATTTTATAATTTTTGTAATTATAGAATCATATTATTTAATTATATTTTACATAGTTTTTACAGCAATTTTATTTTAAGTTACTTACAATTTCCCAACTTTAATTGTAATTTTTAGTTAAAAGTATTACTGTAAAATAATTTATTAATATCGACTAACAGATTATATCAAATATAACAAAATTATTTAATGTTTCTCCCAAGATTAACATAATTTTTCAAATTTAGTATACCTAAAACGAGAAGAAAAAAAACTGAATCGGTGTTGTTCCCAGAATGATAAAATAGCTAAAAAGAGATAAAGAGAAAAAATGAGATAATAAATTTTATCTTTTTTTACTCAAATATTCCCAAAAAATATTTATCATTTGAGCACTCCTTCTATATTATTTTCCCATATAATACCTTTTTTTGTCACGTAAGCAAAATATGTTTTTCGCATAAACTGTTTTCTAAAAAACGTTTTATAAGGAAGTATCTTCCACTTATATGGCACAAAAATGTCAAAACTCTTTAAGTTAAGTTGAAATGAAATAAAAAAGAAAAATTAGGTTATGAAAAAAAATTATATGGATTTTATCTAAAAAGAATAAATGTGTGTGGGATGTATTAAAGACACGTAATAACACGTATTACACTTTTTTTTGTCACGTAAGCGAAAGATGTTTTTTTGTAAGTAGTGCTTTCTAAAAGACGCTTTATACATGAAGCGTCTTCCACTTACGTGGAACAAAAATATCATAACTCTTTAAGTTAAGTTGAAATAAAAGAAAAAGAAAATTTTGAGTAAAAATATGAAAGAAAATTATACGAATTTTATCTAAAAGGGATAAATGATAATATATTTTTGTTTAAATTAAGGTAATGTGATTATAAAGTAGTATCTATTTTTAATAATCTCTCAACCACTTGAGAAAGAATAATAATAATTGCTTTAACAACTTAGGTAATTTAGTTTATGCTTAAATATAATATTTTAAGTGTTTATTTTTGAATAATTAAACATAAAGTTAATACATAATATCATCGTCGTCCAATTTGATTCGTGCTTGTTTGTATACTCATGAAATTTCATGTCCTCCACGCGCACGGCACGCATTTATTTTTTTGAATTACTCAATTAGAATAATCCGACGTTATAAAAATTATTTTTTTTAAAAAATAAATCGAGTTTTATTATCCAACCACGGTGATGTACAAAGATGACGCTGCTGTTAGTTTTGACTGCTTATAGTTGGATTCTCTTTATCGTTTGTTTCGCTGAGTATTCACGCTTCACTATAACAAGTTCCTGGCGGTATAAACAAGGCGGCGACGGTGAAAATGATGGTTAAGCCTTGTTTATTTTGGAAGTAATTGCATTTTCCGGTGAAAATCAGCGTTGTGAAGAATTCTCCCAGAATGAAAATCATCATTGCCGATTGCCTTTTTCATGTACTAATTATCTTAACCCTGTTTATATCGCGACTGCCGCTATCCTTTTCAACAACAGAAGAAATTCAGGTAATACTCACACGGTTAGACTCCAAACGCTCATGTCCTTCGGTTCAAGAATCAGCTGCTAAAGCCGTCTTGGGAAGATTGCTCCCTACCCATTTTCACAGCTTTGACTTTAAGATTGTCTCCAAGGTATTTGTTTCTATTTTCTTTTAATCTAATTTTAACTGTGTTTGGTTTGCTAGTTGCTATGTTTATTCTTTGAAGGAAGAGCTGGGCTATACTAGCCTCATAAGGGGAAAACTAGTATAATTGCAACGTTTACATATTGTTCTTATTGTTTACTCTTTTTGACTGTTAGTGTTCTTCTCTTCTGTATATCAGGATGTTTGTGGGGGACAAGGTTGCTTTTTGATAGAAAATTACCATGGCTCCAGCCAAAATGGACCCGAGATAATGTATGTACAATCAGTTCTTGTTTTAGTTCATAATTTTTGAGTGTGGGGATGAATATCTTTTTATACTTATTTGTGTTGTTCTGGAAACTTTTAGGATTTTAGTCAATTTGACTAATGATCGTATCCTACAACATTTAGGTAATGTTATCCTGATTAACAGGATAATACAAAAGATTTTGGATCGTCTTGTTTTTTGCTTCAGTTTAAGAAGATGGTTAAAAGTGTTTGCTGTTTTGAAAATTTTGATTTTGTTCTTTGCCGACCCCAGAATTAAAGGCACCACAGCAGTTGAAATTGCCTCTGGTTTCCACTGGTATATTAAATATTTCTGTGGCGCTCATGTATCTTGGGACAAGACTGGTGGTGTGCAGTTAGCCTCTGTTCCGAAGCCAGGGTTATTGCCCATTGTAAAAGACGGTGGTGTGCTGGTTCAACGGCCTGTTCCATGGAACTATTACCAAAATGTTGTTACTTCTAGTTGTAAGTATATGGACCTTTGTCCTGTCCTCACTCTTTCCAATCATCATGTTCATGTAGGTTTGCCTAACATACAATAGTTTGAGCACTGCACAGTCATCTTTGGTTTGTGTTCCCCATTGAAAAGGAGGAATAAGGTTGTACTGATTTAGGTTATTTTGTAGTTAGACTGTAGTTCTTATCATAATAGTGATTGACACTGAGAAGAAGATGATAACAACAGATATATAATTTTTAGGCATTTCATGATGTTAGTCAACTACTCCCTGCAATTTCAAATCCTTTCCTGTAGATTCATATATCTGGTGGGATTGGGAAAGATGGGAGAAAGAGATAGACTGGATGGCTCTTCAGGGAATCAACTTGCCCTTGGCATTTACGGGACAAGAAGCCATATGGCAAAAAGTTTTCATGGTGAAGAACTTTCAATGTTATTAAGCATATTGATTTGCCTGTACAGATTATTAATTTATTAGTTTTCTCCTGTTCCAATGTTATCTGTGCATGATGACATTTCCTTTTATATCTATTAAAAATCGGCTTCTAATTTCCAGGGATTTAATATTACCATGGAAGATTTGAATGATTTCTTTGGTGGACCAGCTTTCCTTGCTTGGGCTCGCATGGGAAATTTACATGGGTAGGTTAGATATGATTTTTTTTAAACTGTTATCCTATTTCTCAAACATAATGGCTGCAAAAATGAAGTTAATATTGAAGCTGCTATTTCTATGTTTCATAGTAGACAGAATTTCTATATTTCATATCAGAGAGAAAATATTGAATTTTATTACACATTTTGGCATAAGGAATATTCATCCTTATGGAGCATTAGGTGTTTTAGTACTAGAAGGGCTTGAGTGAAATTGTAGACACAGTAGAACCTAAGGTACAAACTGAGTCAGGTTGCCACCAAAAACAGGTTTTATACACAACAAATCTTCATACTGATTGGTGTTCTATCCAAAAATAGACTATATACACAACAAATCTTCATACTGATTGGTGTTCTATCACCAAAAATAGACTATATACACAACAAATTTTCACACTGAATGAGTGTTCTGTTTAATATCTCTCATTATGTTAAACTTCTGCACTAGCCTATTACAAGACACGGTCATGGTAATAATTGATACAAAATGCTTGTCATCACAAACAGAATCATGATATTTTGTGAAAGGAAAATGCAGCGTTCCATAAGTTTTCTGAATCATGGGTTCGTCATTTTATATAAAGTCCTGTTATTGGTACACTGATATTCTGCTTTTGGTTTCTTGGACCTAAGGTTTTATTTTTTTGCCACAGGTGGGGTGGTCCTTTATCGGAAAACTGGTTGAATCAGCAATTGGTTTTACAAAAGAAGATACTATCTCGGATGTTAGAGTTAGGCATGACTCCGGGTACAGTTAAATTTTCTGATAGAAATTATTTTGCTTCCTTTCCATTGTTCATGTCTATTTTTCTACGTCTGCGAATCTACGCATCAATTATTGCATAAAATTATGTTAGAGATAGTTTATACAAAAGAGTTTTATTGTTGTTTTACAACCATTATAGCTGATAATTATATTGTCTTCCATTTGCTTCAGTGCTTCCATCTTTCTCTGGGAATGTTCCAGCAGCTTTGAAGACAATTTTTCCTACAGCAAATATAACTAGACTAGGGGACTGGTACTTGATTTTCTTATTCTTGAGAACACATCATGAGTTACTGATCACATTCCTTGTGGGTTTCACTTTAAGAAAACTATGAATTATTTCTGTTGTTACTGTTTTGGACCATATACATAATGCATTAAAAGATTTATTTATAAAAGCATGAGTTTACTGTTCTGTGTTTTTACCTCTTATAGGAACACAGTGGATGGTGATCCGCGTTGGTGCTGTACTTATCTCCTGAATCCTTCCGATCCTCTATTTGTTGAGATTGGAGAGGCTTTTATCAGAATGCAAATCAAAGGTGTGCTCATCTAGAAGTGTTGATATAGATTTGCATTAACAATGTTTTACATAACATTCTAGGATTCTGGATAGGAATATCAAAAATCCAAATGTAGTACTACATGATTCTATCTAGAAATGCTGAGGTAAAATAAGACGGGCATTAGTTATATACCAGATGAAATTTAGGTATATTACTTTTGCTAAGAATTTGTGTTCGTGCACACTGCTGACTATGCGAGTGAGCACATGAGCATGTAGATATTGACATCATTTGTGCAAAGTAGGAAAAGTACAATACTGACAAGAAAAAAATAAGTCCCTTATTACTGAACAGGTAAATATATATCTCGGTAGCTGAACTCAGCTTCAAGGTGCAGTTTGGCACCTAAACTCTTTTTTGGTCCAATTAAGTATCTGAACTAGGCTTTAAGGTTCAATTGATACCTAAAGGTGTTTTAGGTACCCGAACTTGATTCATTGGTTAAAATTGGTACACGAACTTCACTTTTTGGTGCAAATTAGAACTTAGGATAAAGGACTTATTTGAACCAAATTGAACCATGAAGTCAAGTTCAGTTATCTAATTGGAACAAAAAATGTTTAGGTACCAAATTGAACCTTCAGGCCATGTTTGGTACCTAATTGGACCAAAAAAGTATAGTTACGAAATTGCTTCTTGAAGCCAAGTTCAAGTACCAAAATGTATATTTACCCTTACTGAATTGATAACACATTTTATTTCTGCTAACATAACATATACTTTTAAAAGCTTTGAGGTTATATATGAGCATTATACAATTCCATCTTCTTTACTTAATCTGTTGCTAATTTCTTGTGGGTTCACACTGTTGTCATCTACTTCATCAGAATACGGTGATGTGACTGACATCTACAACTGGTAATTTATCTCATTCTGTTTAATTAATGTATCTTACCATCATATCTCTTTTCTCCCAGAATTGTTTCAAGCTATAAGAACTTAGAAGTACATATCTCGTTATTGCTTTGTTTTTCTATTTTATGCTGTCTTTTCTCTGTACTAGTGACATTGAAGAAAATACATGTTATGAATGCAGTGACACATTCAATGAAAATTCCCCGCCTACAAATGACCCAACATATATCTCTTCCCTCGGTGCTGCCGTGTTCAAAGCAATGTCCAATGGTGACAAAGATGCTGTGTGGTTGATGCAAGTATGGTCGTTACTTCTACAGCATTGACCCCTATTTTATTCTGTTTATTCTTTTGCAAACAGTTAATGATATTTCCATAAAGTGACATATGGTCTAGATCTGACTTTGTCATATGATTGCCTTGCACAATAACATGGCCATATTTAAGTTGACTTCTACAATTTAGGTTTCTTTTATCAGTTAAATGTTACTAGATTATTCTACCAATATGCAGGGTTGGCTTTTCTACTCGGAGTCAACTTTCTGGAAGCCACCCCAAATGAAGGTATATATGAACTCAACAATCAGTACCTAGCATCTTTTGTTCTCAACTTTTTATTCTTATAAAAGTGTTCTCTTTTGATAATCTAAACAGTTCAGTTACTTGGGAAACTATTTTATTATCCTTTTGTTGAAGTATTAAGCAATGGCCTATGCAAGCTGCTTTAGGAACTCTTAGTTGGGGTTTTAGGATTTGGATAACATTGGAACAGGGATGAATCGTTAGAAAACCTTATTGCTTCAATATATGACAAATAAAGAAGTCATCTGGCATATTATTCCTTGGGAAATAGTACTTCTTGGCACCATATTCTAAGTGCCAGACATTTTGTTAAGTCATTTGATCATATAATTCTGGTAATATTCGCAGGCACTTTTACATTCTGTTCCAGTGGGGAAAATGATAGTTCTTGATTTATTCGCTGATGTCAAACCAATATGGGCAACTTCCTCTCAATTTTATGGAACTCCTTATGTCTGGTAATTCTATCATCATTGTCTCCTGCAATTTCATGGCATTCCATAACCCATTAGCAAGATGTTTACTTTTGAAAATATCTCTTTTAATTCATTTATTTTCTTTCTTTTTCTTGAACGTATAATTTGATGTTTGTATTAAGGAATTCACTGTTATGTTGAAAATATCTTTACCAGGTGTTTACTGCATAACTTTGGAGGTAATATTGAAATGTATGGAACACTGGATGCAATTTCTTCGGGTCCAGTGGATGCTCGCATCAGTAAAAATTCAACTATGGTACGCAGAGTGTCTTGTGTTTGAATATTTTCTAACCATCGCTTGAAATTAACATTTTAAATATTTAAAGCTTTTGGGATTAGAAATTCTTAGGAATTTGTTTTCTATAATGCAACCTGATGGAATAAGTTAAAAGAGTCATTTAACTTCTGTGTCTAAACTTTATTTGTGATGTCATTCCCCCCCCCCCAATTCTCTTTAACTTACATTTTTCATTCGATGGTGTTAGATGACTTTTAGGTGTATATATATATATATATATATATATATATGAGATTTTGGTACTTTCATGTTCTGACATCATTTGTCTGGAACGGTTTCAATCATGGAACTTTTTATGATCTGTAGGTAGGTGTTGGCATGTGCATGGAAGGGATAGAGCAAAATCCAGTTGTTTACGAGTTAATGTCTGAAACGGCATTTCGAGAGGAGAAAGTTCAAGTTCTGGTAATTGACATGTTTTAACTTCTCAATTTCAGAACTCAAAAGTGATGAAACATACGTTTCTTCCTCTTCTGTGTTCATGTTAAGATAAAAGTCCATAATATTGAGGAACAAGATGAGTGAGAGAGAGAAAAACGTAGAGAGAGAGAATTTGAAAGGAAAGTCAGTTCCGGTTGAGTGTTGGTCGGTGTTTATCGATAATCTTAGTAAAAGGGTCTCCCATCGTACGCTTAGGGAATTATTCTTAGTTCATGGTCCTGTTACGAGAGTTTTTATTCCCAGTCAGACTAGAAATCCAAAATACAGGTTCTCTACTTTTGCCTTTGTTCATTTTAAGAGGGAGGAGGATCTGAAGAGGGCTGTTGAGGAGTTAAACGGGATTGTGATTGATGGAAGGAAGATCTCAGTTAGTCCTGCCAGATTTAAGGATGAACGTTCAAGGTCAAGGGTGTTGCTTTCTTCTTCAAACAATGATGTTGGTCAGTTTAGTGCAGAATCTTCAAAATCAAGAGATAGAGATAATATTAATAGAAGTAGGAGGGATGATAGATCTTATAGGGATGCTCTGTTGTCTAATGGGAATAGAAGGGGGAACAATGGTCTAATGTCTGAGGATATCCAGAGGAGGACTGTCAAGGGAAATATATTTGAGATGCATATCCCAACAGACAGCGCCAACTGGGTGAAGAGGTCGTTAACAGGGATTATCAAATACTCCTTTCAAGCGGAGTTCATTCGGACGGCATTATTAAAAGAAGGCCACGATGTTCAAATTGCGAGATGGGGCTATGTCTGGAATTCTTGTGTGATAATCCTCAAATCTCATGAGGAGATGCTGGAGTTATGGAGTAAGAAGGAAGAAGTTTTAAAACAGTGGTTCGAGCGGGTGGAACCTCTACTGAATGAAGCTGGGAAACCAATTGCCTTCTGCATGGTGGAATTAAAAGGTGTTCCTTTGCTGTGTTGGAATGAACCCTTCTTCGAGAAGTTGGCTGGTAGATGGGGCAGTGTGGTAGATATCCATGATAGTACAAGGAAAAGAGAAGATCTCACCATGGCAAGAATCTTATTGAAGGTGGAAAGTCCTTTTGATGTTCCAGAGGTTATTACTCTTGGATCGTATGGAAGATCATACAAAGTAAGTATCAAGATTGGATCAGCAAGTGAATACTCTAGTTCGTTTTTCAGTAATTTTCCGGTGGAGGATTCCGGTGAGATATTTTTTGAAGAGAGGATGTCTGAGAAGGATGAAGACAGATTGTTGTCAGTTCATGGGGAAGGTGAGACTTGCGCAGCAGGGGAAAATCGTTTGTCAGTGGACAATTGGGTTGACCAGGGAGTGTTTCATGTTTCTGGAGGAGCTAGTGAGGACAGACAGCTAGCAAGACTTTCCTTAGATAGGAAAGATATTAAATGTGGTCTGTCAGAAAGTCAGACTGTTGGAAAGTTTAAAGTTGGTGAGTATGCAGGTTTGGGGATTAGAAGTCAAAATTTTTCGGCTGATGGATCTCAGGCCCATTCTGAAGAATCTGGGCAGACTGGGTCAAAATACTTTTCGGGTTTTATTTCTGGGCCAGCATATACAATTAATAAGTTTGGGGAATTTATTGAAAACATCCATTTATCAGGAAAATGCAGGGGAGTGTCCAAGGGAATGGAATCGAGTCCAATTGTAGAGAAGCCATTCAGTGTGGAGATAGACCCCGAAGAAGAAAACTTAAGACCATCGGAACAGGTTTTAAATAACAACTCTAGGGGGAGGCAGTTAATTCGGTCTAGAAGGGAGTTTACAACAGAGAGTAATGTGCTGGAAACTAGAAGTCTGAGCAATTGTAAAAGGGTTTACAACAGGTCGAGGGAAAGAAGATACTGGTATGGGGATTTGTTGAACATCTCGTCTGAAACAGGGGATGCCGTAGTTAAGCAGAGGGAGTTAGATGTTGATTCCAGTACGAATATTCAGCTCTGTTTATCAGCAGAGAACATTGCTGAGGGGAGTCTTGATCCTTATCTTGACAAAGGATATGGGGGTGGGAGTGTAGGAAGGGAGATTGAAGGTTACTTTTCAGAAGGTGGTGGCCTAAAGTCCAAATCTGGTTTGCTGATTAGAAGGAAGAGAAGAACTAAAAGGATCCTGTATCGTGAAGCCCTTGACAAGGTGAGCATTGATACAGCATCCTCCTCAGCTTTTTCGATTCTGTTGAAAGAAGCGGTGGAAACTTGGGAGGTTAGCAAGCTTTTGGGTGTGTCTTTTAAGGAAGGGAAAGAAGCCTTTTTGGATAAAATCATAGCTTTAGAGAAAGGCGTAAATGGGGTTAATAAAGGATTGGTTGTTTGAGGAGTGTGTCTGCACCTATTTCCTTTTGATGATGACAAAGCTAGTAATATGTTCATGGAATGTTAGGGGTTTGGGGAAAAACGAGAAAAGGAGGGCTGTTCAGAATTTAGTCTCCAACTTTAACCCTACTTTTCTTTGGCTGCAAGAAACTAAGACTGAGAAATTTAGGAAGTCTTTTTTTAGGAGAAGTGGAATTAATAAACTTAAAGGAATTTTGGAATCTCCTTCAGTTGGATCAGCGGGGGGCCTGTTGTGTTGTTGGGATGATAATGTTTTTGAGCTGGAGAATCAGTTTGTTAGCAGGAGATTCATTGCTACTTTCGGTAAATTTCGGAGTATTGATTCCGGGTGTGGTTTCATCAATGTCTACGGTCCATCAGTGGAGGAGGAGAAATCTGGTTTTTTTGAAGAATTAAGCAGTTTTCTTAGTGGACAGACTTATCCCATTTGTGTCGGAGGGGATTTCAATGTATATTTACAAGAAGATGAGAAATTGGGAAGGGGTCAAAGTAGGAGTTCAATGGAGATCTTTAATGAGTTCATTCTCCATACGGGTTTGATTGATCTTCCTTTGAACGGGGGTAGGTTCACTTGGTGTAATAACCAAGATAATCCCACTTTTGTTAGATTGGACCGTTTTTTGGTTGATTGTCGCTTCCTAGAGCTGTTTCCGGGCGTTGTGCAGTCGCTTCTACCAAGATCCTTGTCAGATCATAATGCTATAGTTCTGGAGAATAAAGGGGTGGACTGGGGCAGAAAACCCTTTAGATTATTCAATTATTTGATGGATGAGGAGGGTTTTGAGGATCTGGTTGTTTCTTCTTTTCAGAGTGGTAAGGGTAGTCAGAACGAGGCAGGCGTTTTTAGTCTGATGAGGAACACCAAACATGCAATTAAGAAGTGGTCTGGGAACAGAGTGAAATATCCAGGTGCTTTGATTTCTGAGTTAGAGAAGAAAATTTCGTTGATAGAGGATGATATTCAACAGAAGCAAGGAACGGTTGACAGTGAGGTATTAGTTGAATTGAAGAATCTAAGAGCAGAATTGTGGAAGCTTTACAGGATTCAGGAGCAGATCTGGTTTCAGTACTCGAGAACTAAATGGATTGTTGATGGGGATCGCAATACTAAATACTTCCACACTTGTGCTACGATTAGGAATAAAAGGAATGCTCTACTTGCTTTAAACTTCAAAGGGGAAACAGTGGAAGACCCAAAGGCAATTAAGGCCATAGTTAAAGAGTATTTTTTTAAGATCTATAATGAACGAACTACTCTAGAGCTTGATGATTTGAATCTGGATTTTCCCAGAATTTTTTTGGAGCAGAAGCAGTTCTTAGAACAGGAGTTTTCTGAGGAGGAAGTGTGGGAAGTGGTGAAATCTTGTGGCAGCAACAAAGCTCCGGGTCCTGATGGCTTTAATTTGGGATTTTTTAAGAGGTTTTGGCAGGTCCTGAAGGTAGATATTATGAAATTCTTTCATGATTTTTACTTGGGGAAGGAATGGGAACATGGTGTAAATCACACTTTCATCACTCTTATTCCTAAGATTTCTAACATTGGTGGACTGGACGATTTTAGACCTATAAGCCTTGTTGGTGGATTGTATAAGATACTATCGAAATGTCTGTCAAGAAGACTTAGGAGCTGCATTTCAGATTTGATCAGTCCAAGTCAATTCGCTTTTATCCCCGGTCGGCAAATCCTGGACTGTTCTCTTATAGCAAATGAAGGGATTGACTTTTGGAGGAAGAATGGTTTGAAAGGGTGTGTTTTTAAGGCTGATTTCAAGAAGGCATATGATACTCTTGACTGGCCTATTTTGTTCAGAATAATGAAGGAAATGGGCTTTGGTTCTAGATGGATAGGTTGGATTTCGAAATGTGTCACTTCAGCGACTGTTTCAGTTTTGGTGAACGGAGTCCCAACTGAGGAAATTCCTATGGCGAGGGGTCTTCGGCAGGGCTGTTCCTTGTCTCCATTGTTGTTCAATATAGTTGGGGAACTATTGAATCTTTTAATAGCGAAGGCTGTTTCACGAGGGCTCTTTTCGGGTCTGGTCATTAGAAAGGAGGAGAGGAATTTTAATTTAACCCATTTGCAATTTGCTGACGACCTTATTATGTTCTGTGGGGCGTCGAAAAAACAGATCTTGAATGTAAAGAGGGTTCTTCGGGTGTTTGAGATTATTTCTGGTCTACAGCTGAATTTAAAGAAGTGTAAATTATTTGGAGTGAACTTAAAGGAAGAGGAAATTAAGGGTTGGGCATCTATGATTGGATGTTCAGTGGGCTCTTTTCCCTCAGAATATTTGGGACTCCCTCTAGGTCCACATAGGAACTCCAACATCCTATGGGATCCAGTGGTTCAAAGCTTTAATAAGAGGCTGGCGGGATGGAAAGGCTCCTCTCTGTCACTGGCAGGCAGGCTAGTTCTAATTAAATCAGTGCTATGCTCACTCCCTATTTACTTTTTGTCAATGTTCAAGGTTCCAGCATCAGTTTACAAGACTCTAAATTCTATCATGTCAAATTTTTTGTGGGGAGGTGGTGATGGGAGAAAGAGGATACATTGGGTAAGCTGGTCCGATGTTTGTAAACCTAAAATTGAAGGAGGATTGGGGGTTCCTAATTTAAAGGTGGTGAATAGGGCACTCATGGAAAAATGGGCTTGGAGGTTTGCTATTGAGAGGGAGGCGGTTTGGAGGGAATTGCTCTGCATCAAATATAAATTGGATCCTTCCTTGATGCAGTTTGACAGTAAAGTCTCTCCTAAACTATCCTGGATGTGGAGAGATATGGTGAGAAACCATTATAATGCTGATTCGTTGGGCTGTAGTATCAGAGGTAAATATAGCTTTAAAATTGGCAATGGGAGGAGCATTCGGTTTTGGCAAGACAATTGGACTATGGATCATCCGTTGATGGTATTGTTCCCTAGAATATTTTCTATTGCAGTAAATAAAGAAGGAAGATTAACTCAGTTTGGGGAGTTCAGTTCAAGGGGTTGGATTTGGAACGTTCAGTTGAGGAGAGAGTTGAATGACTGGGAATTTGAGCAATGGGCAAATTTGATGGTTGTGATCTCTGATTTCTCTATTTCTGCTGATGCCACTGATGGATTGTTTTGGAAGGGGAATGGGGAAGGGGTTTATACAGTGAAATCATGTGTCAACCTATCTTATTCGGGTTCTCCCGATTCAGAGGAAGCTAAATTTTGGAAGTCTAATGTTTGGAGGGGTCTGTTGCCTCCAAGAGTTGAGACTTTTCTTTGGCAAGTTATATTAAAGAAGTTGGCGGTCAAGACAGCTCTGGTTAAGAGAGGTGTTCAGGGCATAAATGATACTTTGTGTTCTTTCTGTAATCTTGAAGAGGAGTCTTCATCGCATTTATTTTTTTCATGTTCGTTTGTTTGGCCAATTTGGATGAAATTCTTGGGATATTGGAATTTTCAATCGGTTTTTCATACAGAGGCTAAAAGATTCCTATTGGCTTGGAATGACTTGAAGTCCAACTCTCTTATCTGGCCATTCATTCCTGGAGCTGTTCTATGGACAATTTGGAAGACCAGGAATTTATTGTGTTTGAAGGAGGGAAGCTTGATCGAGCAGAGATTTTCTTTCTTGCAAGGTGCAGGCTTGCTTCATGGTTTCTAGCTAAGGAAACTCATGTTAGTATTTCCAAGGATGATATTATTGCTGACCCGTCCATAGTGGATTCCTACTCATCCCATTCTTATCGGGTTTCAACCGTGTTTCCTTGGTCCCCACCTCCAAAAGGTTTTGTTAAACTTAATGTGGATGCGGCTACCTCGAGTGATTGGAAGAGGAGTGGCTTAGGTGGTATTTTGAAAGACATGTCTAGTTCGATTCTTGGTTCCTTCAAAGAGCCGGCTGGTCCGGGGCCCCCAACTTTAATGGAATTGAAGGCTATCCTAAAGGGTTTAGATTTTTTTGAATCTATTCGTCATAGGGTTAAAGATAGACTGATTATTGAGAGTGATAGTCAGGTGGCAGTTGACTGGATTAAGGATGTGGTCTCTTGTCCTGTTGTTTATGTTCAAATAGTTAAAGACATTATTCAAAAGCTTAGTGTTTTTGAAGGTTTTATTAGGTGGGTTAGTAGGACAGCCAATATAGAGGCGGATGTCCTAGCTAAGGCGGGTATTGGGTGAATTATGCTCTGTTAAGGACTGTTTCTTTTTGGTTTTATCTCTCTTGAGGGAGATGGGTTGTATACTTTGTTTTATTTGAATTTATTGAATCCTAGGGCACTCCTTTCCTCCTTGTGTGGGTCAAGGAACTATTTTTAAGTTCCGTTAACCACCAAGGGGGTTTTTTGGAGGCCTTTTATTCCTATCAAAAAAAAAAAGTCCATAATATTTCAAGTTATAATTGACAGACGCAGAGACTAGCACGTTGGAGGTGTTAATTCTATATTGTCAACCATCACCGACACTTAGGATTATGACATTACTGAGATGCATGCAATGATAGTGCTTTATTGTGTTTTTGTTTTTTCAAGTGCGTAGGCTGTCCGGCCAAAAGCTAACTTCTTGCATTGTAGGAATGGCTGAAGACCTACACCCATAGACGGTATGGTAAATCAATTCAACAAATTGAAGAAGCATGGGCGATATTGTATCACACAGTTTACAATTGCACAGATGGAATCGCTGTATGTTTCAATACACTGATGAACTACAATTTTTTTTCATATTACTTCCCTGTAAAAGAAAGCCTTACTGGAAATATATCTAAATATGAAACTGTACTATAGAATTATTTAATATGCTTCAGAAACGTGTCTACCTGGACCAGATTTTTCCAGCTGCTAAATTTAACTTCTGGGTTTTTGTATTTTAGGACATTCTCTCATTTAAATAGGAGCTAATGTTGCATCTTCCTTTGTGGCAGGATCATAACACAGATTTCATAGTCAAATTTCCAGATTGGGATCCATCTACAAATTCTGTATCTCAACCATCAAATCGAAACAATACGCATACGTACAGCTTGAAAACTGGAACCAGTAGATTCTCATTTCTGGACAGTAGCTCTGATCTGCCTCAAGCACATTTGTGGTATTCTACTCATGAGGTCGTCAATGCTTTAAAGCTCTTCCTTGAGGCTGGAAATGACTTAGCTGGCAGCCTCACATATAGGTCACTCATTCTCTTTTTTTTTTCCTTATTTCAATATATTATTATCGAAACCAAAAAAATAAAAGCAGCCTTTAATACAGGAAGTAAAATACAAATAAGAGTTATATCCACTTATGCAGAGTTTTATGACAGATATGATTTGGTCGACTTAACACGTCAAGTGTTGTCAAAGCTAGCAAACAAAGTCTATTTGGATGCAGTGAAAGCTTTTCGAAGGAAGGATGTCAAAGCTTTGAATTTTCACGGCCAGAAGTTTATACAACTAATAAAGGATATTGATGTGCTTGTTGCTTCTGATGACAATTTTCTGCTTGGAACATGGCTTGAAAGTGCAAAAATGTTGGCAAAAAATCCAAGCGAGATGAGACAGGTGCGTACAAAATATTTACCTCATTGTTTTGTTAATTTAGAAAAGCTCGGGTGGTTAGTCGTCAATAATAGGGTACTTTCTCATTGGTCACATAGAGAGCTAGTGATGTGAACGAGCCGAATTGAGTTCGAGTATTATGGCGCTCGACTCGACTTGATTCAAAAGCTCGTGAGTTTAAAATTGTCAAGTTCGAATCGAACTCAAAATAAAAAATTGAACTCGAAAAGTTCTCAAACTTAACTCAATTGACTTTTGAATTCAAGTTCAAATCTAAACCTTAAGTACATGAAAATCTTTTATATATATATATATATATATTTTAAAATAATAATATACAAATGTTAGTAATTTGATTTAAAAATAAAAAATTAATATATTATTTTTTTCGAGTTGCTTGTGAACTTTTCAAGTCAGGTATCAAGTATCTCGCGAGTTTTTCGAGTCAGTATCAAGTAGCTTTCGAGTTGAGTTTCAGCTCGAGAACTCGAATAACTCACAATCTATCTCGTCTCATTTACAACCCCAGACAGAACTGGCCTCTGCCTATACTATACTAATTCCATCCATTTTGCCGTTGTTTATATTTGTTGGAATGCTATGAAGCTATATTTAACTGTGTGTGGACAGTACGAATGGAATGCTAGAACGCAAGTGACAATGTGGTTTGATACCACAGCAACCAATCAAAGCCAGCTTCATGATTATGGTAACGTTCATCTTGATACAAATCCAAGCTTTTATTACCGATCTAACATTAAAGTCTTTTCTTCTATTATTAGCCAACAAATTTTGGAGTGGACTGTTGGAAGGATACTATCTGCCTCGAGCTTCAAGCTATTTTAACCATTTGTTAAAAAGCTTGGAGAAAAATGAGAGTTTCAATATCGTGGAATGGAGAAAACAATGGATATCATTCTCAAATAAGTGGCAACAAGGGGTTGAGCTGTACCCAGCGAAGGCTAAAGGAGATTTTCTTGCTATTGCCAAGGCTTTATTTGAAAAATATTTTAGTTGAATTAATTAATAATCCTGCGTTTTAAGTACAATTAGAATACGCCATGTGATTTCATTTTGGCTTTCATTTCCTTCATCTATTGATTCCCACTACGACATGTGATTTCATTTTTGCCCTCATTTCCCACTCCCATCCATCGATACAAATTTGGCATGCAATACCCACTTTAGGCATACTTTTTCTTTAATTTCACCTCGTGGATTGTAAAGGGCTGATCTACATTTGGCTGCAAACCATCCTTCACGATTCGGCATCGTTGAGCTGTCAAAGTCCGGTCCATATAGTCATAATATTGCTTCGGGAATGCCGAGCTTGCTGCTTAGATACAATTGTGTGGGAACGTCACATTTATGGAGACGTGAGACTGCATCCGCCTGAGTTAATGTTAATGCTAGCAAGGGCTCTAGCAGGAAGTTTTCGTTCCGTATTTCATCCTTCCTTATCTCTTCCAGTACAGTTTCCCCTGTGTCGATACCTGTAACAGTTTAATCTCAAAACGTTAGCAAAATCTTAGAATTGGGGGCACAATAAGAATCCTTAAATAGCCTATTGGCCTCTATCCTTACCTGCAAGGTGTCCACCGTGCACATAGTCATTGAATCTTTCACTTGTGTGTTCACCAGTAAAGAATATGCGTCCTACTGGGGCCTGAATGTACCCAAAAAAATGGAAGGTTCATGCATTACTTTATTGATAGAAAAATAGCTGGCTGCTATAACCTCAATGATCAGCACTGAAAGCAAATAGGAGTTACCTTAATGTCACTAATTACTTGGTTATTAGAGATCATAGGGTAGTTGCTGTAACTGCAACGCTGGAACCTGTTATTCCACCAGCGGGGAACAAGTACATCAGTGGCATCGGGTATTTTGGGCCCGAACATGTCTCTAAGAACAACCATTGCTTCCTTCAACGTCTCTTCATCGGATTGAGATTCAACACGTTTTGATTCATCATTCGTCAATGTTACGACCAAAATATTTGAACCAGGGTATGCGTTCTCCATGTGCTGATGACATGGCAACAGATCAGCAGCCAATTTGGATTGAATACCAGGGGTAGTTAAAAAAATGAATGGATGATGCAATCAATCATGGATGTACAAGAGAAATAGGATTCTCATCAGAATAAAATATATAAGATAAAGACAATTAGACCTCATACTCCATCCGCTACAGGCCAAGTTAATCATTAAAAAATGTTCAGTTTTCTTTGACGTCAAGCAATTACATTAATTAATTTTTTTTGTTGGTAATTTATCAAACTGATTATTAAAAGCATTTCATCCTCACCCCAGAAACAAAAGGAAAAAAACACAAAAACAACTCAGATAGTAACTGGATCTAACAACGCCTCTAATTTACAACTTAAGACAGTGACAATATATATTAGACACGTCACTGGAGCAACTATGCGGTATTGAGATCTCTCCTGTTGGATGCTTTCAACAAGGAAAATAACTAATGTTTTTCAGAGGATATATACATGTATGATGTATATATATATATATAAGATACTTATACATCTGATAATAGAACTAGCATTGTAATGTATTCAGCATTGTCATCGTATGTAGTGTGGTCTACTCAAATCTATATATAATCTTAGTTTCACATTTAGACGTATCACGTAGGCTGCTACGTTATTAAATGTTCATTATAGCCCCTAACAGATAAACCAACAAAGTCAACCACCAACTTCATTAAAAAAATAAATAGCAATTATCTGTACTTAGCGGCTGCTTAATCATTCAAGTAACGTAACGTTGTCGTTTTCTGCAGAAAAACGGGGTTCTTAATTGCTACATGATAAACAGAGCAGCCTAGGATCAAGGACAGGGTATGCCACAGAATTATTTAATGGTAGTAAAAAAAATCGAAGATTGAATTTTTTCATAATACCGGGTAGCAACAAGAGCATGCATTGGGCAGATAAAACATCAAAGTTAGCTGGCAACAATATTATAAAGGAAATAACCATTAAACTAACCTGCCAAAATGTGTAATAGCCTCTTCTCTCGTGAGCATATATGAAGAACTCCTTTCCAGGCCCGCAAGGCCAGAACTTATACGGAAACTTGAGGAAGATCTTTGTATACACCATCACCTCACATTTCTCAATGGCTTCTGTTTTCCACCTCTGTTATCATTACACGTTATCTTTAAATTAGTATTTAATCAAGAAAAGAAATTTTAAGATGATCAAAGGAAGTTTTACTTGAATAAGCAATCTTAAGCCAGAGGACCACCATAAAATATGGATTATAATAAGAATCGTCATTTCAAGGCATCTCTAAGAAGCCTTTTATGATTTCATTACGAGTAAAAGAAAAAGTGGGACATTTTTTTTGTAGCCACAACAGTAGCAACACCCAAACCCTACATGTTTAATGAAGACATGAACTTCATTCTAATCTTCACAGACAGTCCTAATTCTTTTTCGTGTTTTATTCAGTCACTCTCTCAAACCAGCTCCAGTTCTACTACATCTCTATCAATCATTGAGGTGAATATATGATGTTTCTGGCTTCTAAGGGCTAGATCTAAACATAGTTTACCTGCTCAGAAAAATGCTCAAATCATGGCATGGCCTATATAGTCCCCCTAAATAACTAAGAAGCCAACTATGAAGTCGAAAGTGAACAAGGGAAAGCTTGTTTAACAAGTTTAATTAATAATTGGTAATCATAGCATCTAGCACTACCAATTCTATTTTCTATTTTTTCCTTTTTATCCATGTTGTAGCATTCAAGAAAATGAAATGCAGCTGTATAATATATTTTATTTGCAAATTATCAACCCCACAAAGTAAAAGTGTTGTGGCAAGAAAATATCTCAATCCTAGAAAAGAGCTAATCACATGAGCCTATGGGTTAAACAATCTTTGGATCATCGTGCAACCCATTGTATTTGCATCTAACAAAGGCACCTCTAAAATATATATTCCTTTCATCACCCACCAGTAAACTCTATTTAATAAAGCTAAGTGCCAAGGACCACGAATTTTGACTCTTTCTAACTTTACGATATTTAATATTGTGGCCCACAACTTAAATTAACAGGAAAACAAATTAGCAACTCGCATCTATGGGGACCTATAGCATAGGGTTCTCGTCCTATTGATTCAACGGTCAAGATCTTCATAAATCACATGATGTTGATGGATAAGTGTTTATGGAAATGCAAGAAAAAAAAGATTCTTACGGGCAAGGGTGGCCTGAAGGAAATGAGGTCGCTTTGGAGAACACCAATGCTAGCAGACAAAATCACGTAGTCAGCTTCGTAAAAGCAACCATCCTCTGTTTTCACCGTGACGCCGTTTCTCGATTGCTGTAATTCTCTGTCAACCTGCCCCAAGTCCATGAACAAATAAATAAAAACATATTCAGCATCTTACTTTATATTATAGTAAACAAGAACATATTAGTCAATTGAAAATTTTAAAGAAAATTTTAGAGTAGGTGAATTCCAAGGTAAAAGCCAAAACGTCTCATAAAATTCTGAGAAGTCAACGAAAGAAAACCCATGCAATTCAGATACCAAAAGCGGTCTAGCAGAAAGGTGAAGATTTATTGAATGAGGTACAGGGAGCCAATGCACTCGTTAGACATTACCCCCTTACGGAAGGTTTCCATAAGACATCGTAAACAGTAGGAAAGAAAAAGAAAAGGCAATTGATGTCTGATTTAGAGCAACGATAGTTAATACAACAACATATTAAATGGAGAAACTGACAAGACTCTCTATTTGTTTGTCCCTATGTAAGCTTGACAAGACATCTCAACTTCAGGGTGTTGTTCTCAGGTCATTGTGGACAGTGCATATTGCAAAATACTGAAAATTGGAGAATTCGGGGCCCTACTAATGGATGATCACTTCAGTGAGGCTAAAGTGACTTAAATGTTTGAAAAAAAGTTAAATATTTAAAATGAAAAACTATAAGGTACTGTTTAAGAGCAACCCCGCTTTGTATCATTCTGATTGCTCGTAGTTGGGAACAGACCCAACATTTGAGGTTGACTTAACTATTTTCTTGCTGTTGATAATGATCGTTACAGATCGTTACAGGGTGGAAAAGACGACTTCAGGTCAAGAGACAAGAAAAGGAACAATAAAAAGAATCCAAAATTTTCAACGCGATAAATATATTAGAATTAGTACTAAATAATAATATAATTAATCAAAAAAATAGGAGCAATATAATTAATCAAAAAAGAAATATCTAAATAGAAACTAAAAAAACAGTTGACCCTCCTTAGTGAAGGCTGAAGTAGGAAGAGAAGTATCTAAATAATAATTATAAAAACAATCACAGTTTAAAATAGCTTTTAGTAAACGTCATTATCCGCCAACTCCCAAAAGTGAGTCAATCAAGCTTAACAACAAAAAGAATACAGCGCATGCATATAAAACCAGGCTTCAGAATTTTTTTTCTAATTGCACCCTCTCTATTTCCTTTGTTTTCATCCCATAGTCGAGTTTTTTTAAAAAAAAATAAACATTCATGTCATGGACTAAATGATCCGATTCAACAAAAAAAAGGGGGGGGGAGCAAAAGAAATCAAAGGGTTGGATTCATACCTTGTTGAGTTTAAGGCGATTGTCCAGGATTTTCCCCTCCGAGGTAAATAGAAATTCCTCAGCCATTTTATACAGTAAATACTCATAACCTCTTTCATCTGCCACCAAAAGCTCTCTTTCCCCAAAATCTACGTATGTTGATATCGGCTCTACCTCTGTATGCTAAAACAAGAAGCATCAGTCAAAAAGAAACAACTAAAAATTTTATGCATTGCAGTGTGAAAGTTGGAAAGGAATTTGTGTAATAGAAATTCCTAATGACAATTATGAAAAACTAAAATGTTTTCCTTAGCATCAAAGCAGGGGAAAGCAAAAATGAGTTGTGCAACTTGCCTGCCATCTCAAAATCGTGCAAGATAAAGTCAATTGCGAGCTCTATTGGAGTCTTCGGTGTTCTAAAAAATCCAAAATGAAAAGGAAAGATTAATCCAATGATAGCTAATAAGTAAATTAATAATTATGATACAATCATATATTCTCCTTACAAAGAAAAGTCGGTTCTATTGGTGGCATCTTCAACACTGTTTGACTCGACGCCCTTTAGTTTCTGAATAGCAGAGTCCACCGCTTTCTTGTACGAGTCGGCGGCGATTCCACTCGGAAATATCTTCCCGCTGCAATTCAATGATTCAGCTTTAATTCATCCAGACGCAGAATTTCATTTCATTTTTTCTTTCTCGAAACTCAACAGAAAATAATAATATACGCAGGCGAATCGAAATATCCATATGGCTTTTCCTTTACATATGGTAATTTTCAAATCTCAAACTATTCACCGCCAAAGAGAACAGATAAAAATTTCAGATTCGGACCTCCGATCGTAGATGTTAAAGCGAGCATTGCTGTAGTCAGAGAAGCAGGTCCGGATGCCTAATTTCGCGGCTATCTCCCAAACCGGATTGGACTCTTTGCCACCTACACCGGCAATCCAACCCGCTCCCAGCTCCACTGAGACGTCTCCGAACTTCTCTTTCCGGATCCTACCGCCAATTCTATCAGATGCTTCTGTTGGAAGCGTAGATGGACTCACTATAATTTATAAAACTCGGAAATTTTTATTTATACGAAACAAAATATGTTACAACGACACTCTCAATATTACAATACTGCAATACTAGCTGCGACTAGTTTACAAACACAACCTCACTCTTTTAAGGCTTTGCTAAGCTTCACAATCTATCTCTCATTTTTTTTTTCACTTTCTCTCGTATATTTTCCTCACTTGTATTACATACATCCTAAACTAGGCTAGAGCACATATATATAGGATCAATTAACCGACTTATTTTTAAGCTCTGGGTGTTTCTCAATTTTTCCATTATTGTCACCATATTTGTTGCAACCTTATCCTTTTAAGGGACCACCTTAATATGCTTAATAATTAAGAAATTCAAGAGGCTTCTAGCTTTTGTCATCTTGCCGTCATATTGTTGCACTTCTAGTCATCTTTCTTGACTTTTCAAGTTTGATTTTTAACACTCCCCCTCAAACTTGATTTTTCATTCCGAGCTTCTCTTTGAGTCGGTTGAATATATCTGCTCTCAATGGCTTTGTGAAAATATCTGCTAGTTGATCTTCAGTTCTGCAGTAAATTAGCTCCACATTTTTGTTCTTCACCTGCTCTCGTATAAAGTGATACTTTGTATCAATATGCTTGCTTCGGCTATGAGAGACTGGATTCTTGGCAAGGGAAATTGTAGACTTGTTGTCGACATAGATTGTAGTTGGTTCTTCTTGTGCCAAATTTAGCTCGTTCAAAATATTCCTTAACCACATTGCTTGGCAAGTGCACGCTGCTGCGGCTATGTATTCTGCTTCACATGTTGAAAGAGCTACCGTTTGTTGCTTCTTTGATGACCATGAAAATACTGCAGAGCCGATATGAAAGAGATATCCAGTTGTGCTTTTCCGATCGTCTAAGTCTCCCCCATAATCACTATCAGAATAACCAACCAGCTTCGAATTTTCTGAATGCGTGTAGAATAAACCATAACCTGTTGTACCTTTGACATATCTGAGGATTCTTTTTGCTGCAATCCAATGATCTTGTTTTGGATTCTCCATGAATCTGCTTACCAATCCCACAGCGTATATTATGTCTGGTCGTGTGATAGTCAGATACCTTAGACTTCCAACTATGCTTTTGAACAACGTCGGATTCACTTGCTCTCTTGTTGAATTCACACTTAATTTGACTCCTGGTTCTGCTGGAGTGGCTACCGGCTTGCAATCTTCCATTCTGAATTTTCTTAAAATTTCTTCTGCATACTTCTTTTGTGATATAAATATTCCTTCTTGCATTTGCTTCACTTCAACTCCAAGGAAGTATGACATTTCTCCAATATCTGTCATTTCAAATTCTTTAGTCATAGCTTTCTTAAAATCATTGAACATACCTTGATTATTTCCTGTGAAAATCATGTCGTCCACATATAAGCACACGATCATGATATCACCGTCTTCATTTTTCTTTGTGTATAAGGCATGCTCGTATGGACTCTTCATGAACCCATTTCTCTGGAAATATTCATCAATCCTCGTGTTCCATGCTCTCGGGGCTTGCTTCAAACCATATAGAGCTTTCTTCAATCGGTAAACTTTGTCTTCATGTCCCTTTTTAATGTATCCAGGTGGTTGCTCAATATAAACTTCTTCTTCTAGGTAGCCATTTAGAAATGCTGACTTCACATCCATTTGATAAATTTTCCATCCTTTTTGTGCTGCGTCTGCTGTGAGAAGTCTGATGGTCTTGATCCTTGCTACTGGAGCAAATACTTCATCATAGTCTATTCCTTGTCTTTGTTTATAGCCTTTGACAACTAGCCTCGCTTTGTACTTCTCAACATTTCCTTCTTTATTGATCTTTGTCTTGTAAACCCATTTTACTCCAATTGGGTTATGGCCTTCTGGTTGTCTTGTTAGCTCCCAAGTATCATTTCTTTCTATTGATGCAATTTCTTCATCCATTGCATTCCTCCATTTGTCATCTTCAACCGCTTCTTCGTATGTTATTGGATCACTGTTCACAAGCAAGCAGAAAAGTGAAACATTATTTAGTTCATAATCGTTGTACCTTTCTGGCATTCTTCTCTCTCTTGTGGATCTTCGAAGTTCTGTGGGAGGTGCTTCACGATCTTCTATTATGTTGCTGGCATCGCTGCTGCTGCTTGACGACGATGGTAGATTTTGTCGAGGATCTTGATCATCATCTTGTTCATCTTGATTGATAAGATCACCATCTTTATCTTCAAAAAATAGTCCTTCAACTTTCTTTTCCTCTTCGCTCCATCTCCAATAGTCTGCTTCATCGAACTCGACATCTCTTGAAATTATTATCTTCTTTGTAAGAGGATTATATAATCTGTAAGCTTTGCTTCTTTCATCATAGCCAATGAAAATACATTTTTCTCCTCTGTCATCAAGCTTCTTTCTAGTCTGTTCTGGAACGTGGGCATATGCGATGCATCCAAAAATCTTGAGGTGTCCAACTCCTGGTTTCTGTCCACTCCATGCTTCGTTTGGCGTCATATACTTCACGCTTTTTGTTGGACATCGGTTCAATAGGTAAACTGCACATCGAACAGCTTCAGCCCAGAAATTTCTCGGTAGTTGCTTACCTTTTATCATGCTTCTCGCCATATCCAGGATTGTGCGGTTCTTCCTTTCTGCAACTCCATTTTGTTGTGGCGTGTATCTGGCTGTCAGCTGATGGATGATACCATGCTCTTTGCAGAATTCTTCAAATAACTTTGATGTATATTCGCCTCCTCTATCTGATCTGAGTATCTTCAAATATTGACCGCTTTGTTTTTCCGACATTGCTTTGAATTCTCTCAATTTTTCCAGCGCTTCTGACTTTTCTTTCAAGATATAAATCCAACATTTTCTACTAAAATCATCAATGAAAGTTAGGTAGTACCTGTTACCGCCAAGCGATGGTATGTCAAAAGGACCGGCTATATCTGTGTGTACTATCTCCAATGGTCTTCGGGCACGCCAGGATCTACCAACTTCAAAGCTTTGTCTATGTTGCTTCCCTTTGATGCAAGCCTCACATAATTGATTTTGAGGGTTGATCTCTGGTAGTCCTTTCACCATGCTTGTTTTTGACAACAACTTCAATCCAGAAAATCCAAGATGTCCATATCTTAGATGCCATAGCCATGAATCATCTTTGATCGCGATCTTTATGCACATTACTTCTCCTGACTCGATATCAATTGTAAAGAGACGATTTCGAGTCATATCAGCTTGGGCTATCAATTCTCCTTCTTTATTTTTGATGGCGAGCGAGCGATTCTTCATCTGCACTTCATATCCTTTTTCCAGGAGTTGACCAAGACTGATGATATTGCTTTTCAAAGCAGGTACATAATAAACATCTGAAATATATTTCTTTTGATTCTTCGATTGCCACCACCACGTAATCGAATTTTCTTGTTAATGACCGCAAAATTTTTTCCATCACTCTAACATCATCGAGTGATTCACCATTTCTTTTCATTTCATTTACGACCGTTTTCACACGGCTAATATAATCATCGATGTTTTCTGTATTTTTCATTTTTAGCATCTCAAACTCAGCACGGAGAGTTTGTAAGCGTATCTTCTTTGCTTTTTCGACACCTTGTAGAGATTTTTGCAAAATCTCCCACGCTTGTTTTGCGGTCTTTGCATCAGAAATTTTTTCAAAGGTAGATTCGTCTACTCCTTGAAAAATAAAGAACAATGCTTTTTTATCTTTTCTCCGGGATTCCTTCAATACCTTCTTTTCTTCATTGGCCAAGGTTGCTTCTGCTGCTGCATTTTCAGGCTCGGTGTAACCATCCTCGATGATATCCCAACAATCTTGGGACCCTAGTAACGCCTTCATTTGAATGCTCCAATTGCCATAATTTGTCTTTGTCAATCTCGGGATTTGAGGTTGAATCATGTTGGCCATCTTCTCCACCACGTTGAACTCGAACCAAGCTCTGATACCACTTGTTGGAAGCGTAGATGGGCTCACTATAATTTATAAAACTCAGAAATTTTTATTTATACGAAACAAATTATGTTACAACGACACTGTCAATATTACAATACTGCAATACTAGCTGCGACTAGTTTACAAACACAACCTCACTCTTTTAAGGCTTTGCTAAGCTTCACAATCTATCTCTCATTTTTTTTTCACTTTCTCTCGTATATTTTCCTCACTTGTATTACATACATCCTAAACTAGGCTAGAGCACATATATATAGGATCAATTAACCGACTTATTTTTAAGCTCTGGGTGCTTCTCAATTTTTCCATTATTGCCACCATATTTGTTGCAACCTTATCCTTTTAAGGGACCACCTTAATATGCTTAATAATTAAGAAATTCAAGAGGCTTCTAGCTTTTGTCATCTTGCCGTCATATTGTTGCACTTCTAGCCATCTTTCTTGACTTTTCAAGTTTGATTTTTAACAGCTTCCAAGATCAACAAATCCCCAATTCCATTCTCGGCCAAGACCTTCGCCGCTGATAAACCTATCCAGAATTTTAAAAAGGTAATCGATTAAAAGAGAACAATCTCAATCTCTTTTTTTTTCTTTATTTCTTCAAATTAATATCTCGTAATAACAAGTAATATTCACAGGTTTGTTCGTTTAGGAAAAAAAAAGATACATATGTATTGTTTGGTAGAATTGCTTAATGTAACAGACCGGAGACGCCGGCTCCGATTACGATAATGGACGACCGATGAGAGGATTCCATAAAAGAAAAGAAAAAACAAAGAATAAAGATATGAAGAGAAGAGAAGAGAAGAAAAGAAAAGAAAAGGAATGGAATTGAACTTGGTTGTTGCGTTTTGAGTTTTGAGTAGCGTTGGCGAGAAATGCAGAAATAGCGGGAGTCCGTTTATATAGGAGTTTTTTTCCGTATTTTTTTAATTTCCTTTTTTAATTCTTCTAATTAATTATTAGGGTAAATTATATATATAGTCACCAAACTATCACTTTGATTCCGTTTTTGTCACTCAATTTTTTTTCAAAATCATCTCTAACGTTATGTTTTAATTTCATTTGGATCGGTCGTTATTAGAAAAATTAACAAAAAAATTAATATGACCATTTTCAAAATCATCCTTAAAGTTAAGTTTTAATTTCATTTTGATTGGTCGTTATTAGAAAAATTAATATGACCATTTTGTAACTTTTAATACTCGAGAGACTCAACAAAGCAACACCCTAGAATTGGAAAATCATTTTATTATTATTATTATTATTATTATTATTATTATTATTATTATTATTATTATTATAGTAAAGTACATATTTAGCACCTATACTATCAGTTTGGTCTGTTTTAATACTTAAACTTTCATTTTTTTTAAAAAAATCATACATAATGTCTAGTTTTTGTTTAATTTTAGTATCAGCCATTAAAAAATTAACGGACGGACTCATCGACTGTCACATCCACAGTCACCGATCGTCACATCTGTCGACCGATGAAGCCCAAATTTTCCAACCCACACCTTTTCGACCCCCTAAACGCATCAATCTCCTCAAATCGACGATGGACGCTTCGATTTCTTCATCCATGATCTCTATGTTCCACCTTCTAATGGGTCTGAAACTGGACTATGTTGGTTGACTCATCGTTCTCTCATGGTCCACCGGAAGTATGCCACATCATCTTGTCCGTTAAGGTTTAAACGACGGGACACTAAAATGAAACAAAAACTAGACGTTAGATATGATTTTAAAAAAACAAAAATTTAAGTATTAAAATATATCAAAATTGATCATTTATATACTAAACTCGTAGTTTATCCTTATTATTATTATTGGTTTATTGCAACTTTTCAAGTTGCACTGGTCATTGACGAGGATTTGACGCGCCATCCATAAATAAAATAATAAAATAAAAACAGATATTTGGTTATTACGTGAACGATATGAATTTAATTAAAGTAATTTAATCACAAAGTGCGTAATTATTGACAAATCTAGTCGGTTTAGAGAAGAGTAGAAGCCCAAATTCAGCAAAGCATTTTGGTTTTATTCCATCACCCACGCAACTGCTTTGTAGCTTCCTATTCGGCTCTTCATTCATTTTCCAAGTTTTTTTTTTGTTCTTAATCATTCATTTCTTAGTACTACTCTTAATAAATACAAGACATTATATTTCTTTCTTTTTCTTTTATTCTCGGGAAAGATAAATTTTGCATCTTAATTTCAATCTATACATATATTTCCTAATATTTACATAAATATATATATATATATATATATATATATATATTAAACTATAAGTATTATATATATATATATATATATATATATATATATCACATGAGTAACTTTTATACATATATCAACATTAAACAATAAATTATATTTTTAATAGTTTAAGGTGATTCATTTTTACCACTCAGATTAATTTAATAAATTCTAAATTCTAAAATCGTAAACTTTAAATATGAGACATGGCCTTCTTTAGGAAGAATATTATTCTGTTTTACCACATATAACTCATCAAGTGTTATTAATGGTAAAAGAGAAAGATGTTATCTCTAAAAATTTTGAGTTTAAACAGTTACGTTTACAATATGTATGTATCGCTAATAACTAAGAAAATTTTTATACATACAATACTCTATAATCATTTCAACCTACTGAAAAAACACAAGCTTAAAAAATTTTAAACCGTAAACATTAAATTTTACATAAATTACGTGTTAGATAAATTTTCATATTATATATAGTACACGTGCTATCAATAATGAAGAAATAGTTAAACTATTAATAGAATCGTATATAAAGTTGTCCAATGAATGTGGTCTAATGTTTTTCAATGACAAGAATAAACAAAGAATCTGTACATACTAATTAGTCATAAATGTAAATAAGATTGAAGCTTATCGAAAAGTATTTAATAAAATAATGGACTGGATTTGAATTCGTGCAATTATTCTTTTTTGTACGGATAGGAATTCTTCATTAATCTCATTTCATGCGAGTTAATTTGGCATTATTCTTTTCAAATTCAATTCTACTTAAATCTAATATTTATTTAACACATTAATTTTATTTAATATATAGAGACCAATCTACGTTGGAGGTGGGAGGGGAAATTATCCTCCGATGTTGATGGTTTAATTGGTTTTAAGTCACTAATATTTTTGAAATCATTATAATTAAGTCTTTGTCCATCTCAAAATTTACTGGTTTAATTATAATTCAGGACCTTTTCAATTTTAATATGAAAACTTTGACTTCTAATTTTTCTGATTTAATTACTCTTTAAGACCCTTTAATTTTAAAATTAATGAAATTAAACCATAATTCCTTTAAATTTTACGATTTATTCAATTTTAAAGACATCATTTATTTCGAAGTTAAACAACTTATCCCTTCATAGTTCAATCTTAATTCTATATATATATATGGGGTAGGATCCAATTACATTGTAAAGTTCCTTTAGTTTTATACAAACTTAGGATCGTTGAATGAGTGCAAATAGATGGTTGAGATTAACAATAATAGAGGAAAAGATATTCAATGAAAAAAAAACAAAATTTTTATTTCAATCATCTATCTTCACTCATTCAACAACTCTAAATCTATATAAAACTAAAAGAATTTTACACAATATAGGTGGATTCTAAACATATATATGATTTTAAGATTGTGGCATTCAGAGAGGGAGAGAGAATAAGAGATAAATCTAAGGACCATCACCCCTTAAAAGTTTTAAATTCATGTGTGTTTAAAATCTTTTATTATAATTTATATTAATTATATATTTTCGTATAAATTTAAAAAAAAATATTGTGTCCGGTTAAAAAACATAGTATGTGTTTTGTTTTCAAGGGTCAAAGTCGATAGCCAAGTGGGTCCAAGTGTCCAACTACAACCCCAGCTAAGGCCTTTGTAGATGGAAGGGTATGAATAAGCTGCCCTCGTACCATAACGTAAGGGCTGTCACTGTGGGAACTCCAGATTGGTCACAGTCTGTAATCGTTGTAATATTGATAATAAATTAAAGATTAATAATATGCTGGGATTTCCACCCTTATTAATCCACGTGTGCTGTGAATGCTTATTCCAAATGGAAACACAAGGAATTGATTTGGGTTTTGTTTGATAATAAATGACCTAATTCTGAAAGATGAATATATGCTCATGAATTTTGGCTTTATCCACTTTCACATGTGCATGCCCAGCTCATTGAATATGCTAACCCTAACATTTGTTTTTGGTAGGTGGGGGAATTCTCGATGATCAATGAGCCATGACGCATACGGCAAACGGCGATGCATACCAAATTTTGCTTGGAAGGTGGTATGGAGCTTTTTTATTTTTATTACTATAATGTAATTATAATATAATATTTATTTAATTTTTTTAATTACTAATAACGCATAAACACTTTACAGACATAATTATTTGAACCTAAAATTTTTAAAGAGAATAACACTTATTTTAATTATTTTGTTAATTTGATATGTTTGGATTATGAAGTGACTAGATTTGTTATTTGTTGTCGGTGGTGGTTTTGAGTTTGACACGTTAAGCATAGGGTAAACGTACATGTAGACGGTCACAACTTTCAACATTTTTCTTTAGGTATCATCATATCCTTTCATCACAGATGATGGGTTATGGGTCACCCGCACTCACCAGCAGCACCCACTTTTCGGGTAGATTCATACGTCGACTCCTGCTCTAGGCGTTCAACCTTTTAAATTATAATATTTTAGGTTTAATGTAAAAGCTAGAGCTACAAATATACTTAAAAAGATAATTTTAGGTGTTTAAAGATTTTTTTTGTTAAAAATAAATATATGAAGTTTTTAATGTTATATTTTTAAATACATTGTTCGTAACCGCTGTTAAATTTAATTGTTAACTAACACATGTTGCTTCCATATTTTTTTTAAATAATTTTTAAATAATTTAAAAAAAATTAATTATTTAAAAAAAAGTTATAAAAAAAAAAAGAACACTTCCCCTGCGCATCCCCCACTCCGCATTTCCCCTCCCCTTTACCTGCGCAATTACTCCGGTGCATTCCCCACTCCCTTTCGCATGCTCGCTTGCATTCTCCCACATGTCTCATGCTTCAAATAGTTGTAATTCAATAATAAATTTGAGATTAGAGTTAGGGATTTGGGTATTAGGTATAGGATTTAGGGAGATTGAGACAATAACAAGAGGGATGATTGGCAGTGGACAACGATGGATGGATTGTCGTTCGACAACATTGAAGGCAGTCGGTGATGTCGACGACGGCTAATATGATGGTTAAAATGAAGATTTTTAAGTTTTTTTTTTGTAATTTCAAAAAAAATAAGATTTTTTTAGTTTAACATAATGTAAAACTATTTTAGTTTTACATTAAATTAAGATTGTTTGATGAGTGAAAATAGAAGACTAAGATTAATAGTAGGAAATGATAAGATATTCACTAAAATAAATAAATAATTAATCTTAGCCTTCTATTTTCACTCATCTAACTATCATAATCTAGTGTAAAACTAAAAAAGTTTTACATTATGTAGATAGATCCTAACATATATAATTACAAGTCATTTCTTTATATACAACTAACATTCAATTAACTACTAATAAATTAGTTGTTTTGTTGAGTTTCTCGACTATTAAAAGTTACAAAATGATCTTCTGAATATAGGTTATTGTTTTCTTCAGTCTTCTACTATTAAAAATTATAAAATAGTCACCTACTATTCATATATTTCAAACTAGTTCTTTTTCATTAAAAAATTTATGGTCAAAGTTATAAAATAGTTTAATGATGAAGTTGAATGACTAAAACATAAATACGATCAAAGTTGAGTGATGACTATT